GAGCCAACTTTAACGTGTGACATGGATCAAGTATGATATAAAGATCTTCCCCAGTTGTTGGATGTTTAAAAGATGTTCATTCATTTCATCGTATGTACCAGATAATTTGCCACCAAGTATTTCAAATGTTCTAAGATTTACTGCTGTTATATCAGCTGTTACAGACCATACCTTTAGATCTGCCTTTGCAGCCATTTCCAAGGACTTTAACACCAACTTTGCTTGGTTGTTTGCTGAGATTTTGTCAACTAAAAAATATTCAATTGGGCATTTCCAATGGCTTCTTGTTCCAACCAGGAGAAATACCAATGCCTCTGATGCCAGTTTGTCACACTGTAAATTTGGAATTTCATTGCCAACGTCAACAAAACCTGAATACCGGCCTTGCTCGGGGTTCCATAATGTTTGCTTGCGTATTGACATAGCATCAATGACAAGACAGCAGTCCCTATTAATGTGGGAAACCTGGACTTGGTTGGATAACGATGTAAATGCTTTTTCTATAAATCCTGGATCGCATTTAATGGAAGTGGACCATTTTTTTTATCAAAGATGGGTTTGGTAGCGGGATAATCGATCTGACATATTTGTATGCTTTTGGTGAATAGAAGTGAAGTGTTACTGCAAATTCCTTAATTTCATCCGTGTATCTCCTTCCACATGGCAAAGTTGTGATGTTCTCTTTGAAATTATATAGAAATTCCAAATTTGTATTTTTGAAATTTTCCTCTAGAGTTTCAGCTTCTTTTACTCTGATAACAAGTTTATCTTTCATGACTTTGATCACCTCACCCATGTTTTTAGCCTTCTGTTTTGATCATCGTAGCTGTTGTTGTAAATTACGTATTTTTTTGTCAGTTTTTCCTCTAATGTATCCCTTTTTTCTTCCGGTAGAGGTTTGGCAACTTTGGCTGGTGGTACCAGGTTTTCTTCATCAAATGGATAGAATGGCCTCTTGTTCGTCTCTTTCTATCCACTCGGTGATTCATCTGGAAGTGATGGAGCTGTGTATGTTGGATTGGGTCTTGATGGTATAGCATGATTTTTTAAACGGCATGTTCCACTTGATGAAGGATAGATTATGTAGTCGGTGGTTTTAAAGTGGTCACTGCATATACGGCTATAATTTGTTGCTCTCCATGATGAGTATTTATTAGCTTCTTGAACAAATCATTCCCAGTTTTCTAAGTCGTCTACATTTTTCTTTGGAAATCTAAGACGATTGCATATAAATAAATTTTGAGCTTCTATTGTTATTGCCCATATATCAAAACAATTTGCTTTTTATTTTGTACAGATTTGACTAATGATTCTTTGAATCAAAATATTGTTTTGCTAGAAATTTACCTTTGTATGATTGTATCTATAAAGTTCAAAATTGAATATATGGGATTAACGTTTGGTTTCTTTTGTTTTTACTATATAATTTATTGACATGGCTGTCATTACCTGTGGAAAGCAATGGTATTTTCTCTTTCATTGTGAGGAATGCCTTTGTTTTTGCACCCATGAATGACGCATGTAAGTGGTATGTTTTTTTTTTGCAATACAATTTAACGGAATGGATTTTTTAGGCCTCTTATATGGGCGGCCATGACCACCAAAAATACATGAAATGTAAAATGGGTTAGCATATTGTGAATTGGTCTAGACAAAACACTAATGGAACATTATTTAGTGAAGCGGTATAGCGTTCATTTGTGATTTGGAACGTGCAAAATAGGCACGGTCAGCACAGTTTTTGAATGGTTTAACGATCTTTGCATAATTGGTCTAGCATAAACTGGATTAGTCCAGCGTTGACTGAATTGGTTTAGCGATAGTGTGAGAAATGGTCTAGCATAGATTGAAATGGTTTAGCATGACTTGCAACGGTCAGGCACAAACAAGAATGGTTTAACATTAATTAAAATGGTTTGACGTAAACTGAAATGGTCTAGCATAAACTGAAATGGTCTAGCGACTAGCATAAACTGAAATGGTCTAGCATAACGTGAAATGGTCTAGCATAAACTGAAATGGTCTAGCATTAACTGAAATGGTCTAGCATAAACTGAAATGGTCTAGCATTAACTGAAATGGTCTAGCATTAACTGAAATGGTCTAGCATAAACTGAAATGGTCTAGCATAACGTGAAATGGTCTAGCATAAACTGAAATGGTCTAGCATAAACTGAAATGGTCTAGCATAAACTGAAATGGTCTAGCATAAACTGAAATGGTCTAGCATAAACTGAAATGGTCTAGCATAAACTCAAATGGTCTAGCATAAACTCAAATGGTCTAGCACAACGTGAAACAGTTTAGCATTAACGCGTAATAGATTAGCATTTATATATTAACTGAAACTTTGATTGAAATGAAGTGAATGAACTAGTATAACATAAATGTCACCGTTAATTATAAAAAATATCTCGCTCTGATTGGTCAGATAACGCCCAAATATGGTAATGTTCTAGCAAAAGCTATAAATAGTATTAACAAAAGAGATAAATTTAATTTAGTAAGTGCAACAAGTTATATATTATTATATACTGATATTCTCGAATCTGGATAGTTCGCCGAAAAGTTTACAGTCAGGTAAAGCTTTATATTGATTTACTTGCGCTGTAAAGTTTCGCAGTAACTACAGCAACGTCGCATACTAATGGCTGGACGCAGCGATCTTGCAGACGCTATTAAGCAGATATTAGACGGGCTTACAGCTTTACGTAATGCGAGTGAAGAAAATCGATACATTTTGCAAACATATGTCTTGAGATTAGAAGTACTCGCTGAGACGTCTCTTGCAATGGTCGATATTCCACTGGAAGTCGTTGATCTCATAAACAGTGCAAGAATACGAATAAAAGAAGTTCACGATTCCTCTTCACGTGAATTCATATCTTACCAGTCACCTCTTGTACGAAATGGTAATAGAGGAAGGCCAAAATTTTTTATATCGGAGGAGCAGATATCGTTTTTTAAAGGTACCAGTATATATTCTGATCAACAGTACGTAAGGTTTTGTATGTCAATATAAACTTGTTCTGGCATTACCATTATAGTCCATCCTTTATGTATTGAAATAGAGAAGTGAAAATAATTTTTCAATGTTTATAAAATTTGTCTTAATATATGACAGAGCACAACTTCACTCAGAATGATATGGCGCTGATGCTCGGTGTGAGCAAAAGAACAGTTGAAAATCGAATGGCAGAGTATCACATGACCAACAGAAGCAGATACAGTGATATTGAGGATAACATTCTAGATTCTTACATTGAACGCATAATTAGAAACCTCCCAAGATCAGGTACGAAAAAATATTTGACAATGTTATGTGTCAATGAAAGCGCTTTATATAACCTATAACTGAATATACAATAATTAGGCCCAGGTTATACGTCGCATTTTGGCTGCATCGAATGCAATTCAAACGTCATGTTTGTAATGCTTTCGACGGGACCAAAACACGATGTTTAACCTGGGCCTTACTGGTCATGTTATTTCTAGGATTAAAATCGATAGAGGGAGAATTGGTCGCACATGGAATACGCGTTCAAAGACATCGTTTGCGAAGTTCCGTAAAAAGAGTAGACCCTGTTGGCCGAAGAATGCGTGCGTTTACCAATATTCGCCGACGTAACTACAACGTTCATTCTCCTCTCGCACTCTGGCATGTTGACACAAATCACAAGCTAATTCGGTATATTTTTGTTATATTAGCAGCAAACAATGGCAATCATACCTATTTAATTATACAAATTGAGGGAGAAAACGTTTTCTACACAATTTCCCGAAAACACGATGGTGACAACAATAGTCCGTCGCTTTCCTAGGTGTATTGCTTTTCCTTTCAGATATTCCAAATTAATTACACAACTTACCATAATTTTATTTCAGATGGAAGTTGGTTATACACGGATGTATCGATGGGTATAGTCGGGCCATTATGTACCTGGCCTGCAAACCAGACAACACATCGGCGACAGCAATGAACCTTTTTACCGAAGCTGTCAGTACATGGGGTCTTCCTTCGCGTGTAAGAGGCGATATGGGGGTGGAAAACAGAGACATAGCTCGACATATGTTAGCTCACCCAGCTAGAGGCCCTGGAAGAGGCAGCTTCATAACAGGAAAAAGTGTTCATAACTCGCGCATAGAGAGGCTCTGGCGAGATGTGTATCGCGTGGCAACTTCTGTGTTCCGCGATCTCTTCCAGATGTTAGAAAGTGACGGATTCCTTAACCCAGATAATGACGATCATCTTTTTTGCCTTCATTATGTTTTTCTTCCAAAAATCAATGGAGTTTTGGAGACGTTTACAAGGTCATGGCTTAACCATAAAATAAGAACAGCGGGTAACAAAACTCCATTGCAACTATTTATTATGGGCATGCAGCAAATAGGAGGTGAGCAAAGGACAATAGCTTCGGAATATTTCAATTCTTTACGAGATGTAAGTATACTCGTGTCTAACGTACAATATATCAAAAATTATTTGTTTTCAAGTTTCAAGTCAGCAGCATGAGTGGATTTACGATATTTAACCACGGTTCGGAATCCAACATCTTTAATGCTTGGAGGAACGTTTGTTAGCATTTTTTTGATAACATTGCCAACTTTTTGGTAATATCGGAATGTATTCTCTAACCATTATAAATTATATAGGAGGAAGTTGTGGAGTATGGAGTAGATCCATACGGTAGTCTTCCAGATGGTGAAAATATTAACGAGGAAGGAGTCATTCTTGTACCTCAAGTACGATGTTCCTTAAATGAAAATCAGATCAATGCTTTTCAACATCAAATGTCGAGTGTTCATGGAACTGGACCATGGGATGTAGAGCCTTATCTCCAGGCAGTGCAAACCCTCAATCAAATCCAGGCAGTGCAAATCCTCAATCAGTAAATGAATGCAATTTGAATGCAGGTTTCTTTAATAAGTATATAATATAAACAATTAAACAAGTTTACAGAAAGAATATGAATATATGCATGGTTTAAGTCATGTTAAGTTTAAGCGCGCCCAAAGTAAGTATTAGCAAACGCATAATCAAAAAACTGGTAAAGTTTCTCTTTATCGCCAGGAACTTTGTCTCCTGTTGCAAGCGTGAGCCTGTTTATGCAAGTGTTGCTTGTCGGAAGACAGGATTGCATGTCGGGGTTAAACGAAATAGATGGTTTAACGCCATAACCCAGAATTGGTTCCGTTTCACTTGCAGTTATGAATGCCAGGATACTTCCTAAAGTGATCGCACCACGTCTTTGTGCTTGAAAAAAAATGTTTAACAGTATATAAATCACCACAAAACGTTAATTGTTATGTATCTAAAACGTACATCTAAAGTTAATTGAATCACTTCAATAGCCCTATTCGAACCCAATTACCTGGAACTGTTGCAAGCTACGCGCAAAAAAGTTTTTCCAGTCAAAATTTGGAAATATAAAAATGAATTTAAGAAAACCTGACTCTGGCCTCTTGCTCGTTTTTGGAATAGGTCTATGAGCACTATTTCACTAACAATATTATAACTTTGTCATTGACCATAATATACAATTTCCATTCAGGGGTTCGGGGGGCTTTAAAAAATAGGAAAGGAGATGAAAATAATTTGCCAAAGATTGCACGAGCATATTATTATTCATGTATAATTATAGAGTTGGTTGCAAGGTGTTGTTATTACTATTCAAATTATTGATTAGTTCATAGGTTCACTTTACTACATTTATTTACGGATAGGTGTTTCATAGGTAAAGCTGTGTGTCACACCCGATTTATATTTCATCTTACAGAATAATAATGCATGCATTTACCTATATAAATTCGTTTTTGCTGTGCCTGTGGGAACGGGTACTGAATTTACACATTTCAAGTAACATTTACCTGCAATCTCTTTCATGTAGTTTAAGAAACCACGGTATGCCGACTCTTCCAACAACCTTTTGTTTGACCCTTGTTCTGAGAAATTGGGCACCAATAGCTTTGCCAATTTCGAGTACGTTAGATTTTGCGCTAATGACCTCTCATATAGAAATGCAAGGATAGTTGGTTTCTTTCTGAACAACTAAAAATTCAAAACGCACTCGTTAAATTAATGAATAATTCATAAGGTTTATAGTACTTTATACCAAACCAAATTTGATGAATTAGGTCACATGCACACCCTGTATGTACAAAATACAAATTAGATTGATATATAATAATCCTAATCTGTTACAAATTGTATCGGAGAAATACAACCGGTACCACATATATATTCACAAGCTATATCGTTATGCATGATTGTCCTCGAATTATTTTTATGCGCATTATTATTAGCTATCATCGTTTAAAATTGTTATGAATAGACTTTTTGATGCTGCCAGATTTATATTTTTGTAAATGCATGTGACTACAACTTACTTGCACGAGTCCAAACTTGGCCAGACCAGCTTGAAATTGTAACTCAGATTCTCTCAATGGGCGTGAATCACTTTCTTGAATTAACAATTTCAGTTGATCTTCTTGAAGAAAACTTGGCAGTGGACCTCCTTGTAACAGGCAGAAACCTTAAAGGAGTTAGAAAGTAAATATACCAAGTAGCTTTGACGATATGCTTTGGCGTTGTCGTTTGTGAAATCCTACGAGCAATTTTACAAGAAAGCCTTGTAGAAATCATACTGATTTTCTTAAATAATCAATAAAACTCATCACAGCATTACAATGACTGACTTCAATGAATTATGTATGTATAATTTGTATGTATGTATCTCACCGAATATGAGACCTCCACCAAGATAGTAATTTTTCAGAGTATGAGCAACGTTATCCTTGATTACGTAATGACCATGTCCGTCATCTTCAAAAAGACGGTTTCTTGTCTCTCTTATTGCAATGCCTAGGAACTCCTTTCTGGGGCCACCGTAGTCTTGGGCTAATTCGCCACTGAACGTTACTTCAAGTGGGAGGCTGAAGTCCCATTCCTGCCCAAGAATTTCATCCATGGCATCATCAAAAAGCGTAGCCCTCGAAACAAATAACTCTGAGGTCTTCCCTTCTGTTACTGTATTTTCGTCCAGAATGTCGAGTGCACGTCCTCTCATGAGATTTTTTTGGAATTCTTTTAGAACTGCAACAGGATCGTTGCAGTCAGACCTGCGAAATTAACACGCGAAAGAAGTATGAAAAATATATACTGTAATAAATATTCGATAATGTATAATTGATCAACAGTTGAACTTACATTACAGTTAACGTCTGACTAAGTGCGCGCTTAAGATGATGATCATAAGGTGCCTCTTCTCTACAGACAAAATTCAATTATATGCTTGAATCATTGGTGGTCATAATTAGTTTTAACACTGCACTGATTTATCAAAGACATGTTTTCATTATTGAAAATAATTCAACTTCCATGGCGAACAACAAATAGACATTAGACATAAAACAGCAGTTACAAAATTTTACCTGTTTGAATAAGAATCTGAATGAGTTTCCGGGTTTTCATCGCAAATAACGCTTGGTGGATCACTGCTGTGCGCGCCAACAATAACTTGCTCTTCTGAACTAACATTCCTTTAATCAGGATTGCATTTTGTTATACACTATTAAAATCAGGTATTTTCACAAAGTAACACGTACTTTAACATATGCAAAAAGTAGGCCAATTATTACCGAACTGCATTATCAGTGCAATTAGCAATTCCTTCAACACGATCGCTGATAAGGCTGTATTCTCTGTAAATGGTTGGGAATGGTCAAGATGATTTATTCACCATTTTTATTGTTTACGACTGTAACTCTGTAACTATAGTGTGCAGCAGTATGCGGCTCATGTATACACTTACTGATCGACGTTGAAACAATTGTCTATGCTCCTGCAAAGCACGACTCCGCCTGTCAGAGCTTAATGTTGGTTGTGCGTCAGATGTCGATGGTGCATTAGATGTCGATGGTAAATTAGATGTTGATGGTAAATTAGATGAAGATGGTGCATTAGATGTTGGTGGTGCATTATTTGTTGAGAGCAGTGCAACCGCCTGCCTTAATAGGCTTTCTGCTGTTGAAGTGTCGTTTGATTGACTCTAAAATATATTAATATTAATACTATGTTCTCATTAACAAGTTTTCCGAATTTTCGAATGCAGCATTGTTTTTTTTGGGCATATACTTTGGTACGGTGCCATGGAAACCATGGAAACTATGAAATCGAAAAATAGCATGCCTCTTGCGAGTTACACAGAAACGAGGCTAGTAATATTTCTTCCCGCAAAATTCAAAAATTTTGAAAAAGTGTTTTCAAGCCAAAATTTTCAAAATTACGTAAGGATTTTGAGCCCAGGCATGAGTCGGTTGTAATGGACCAGGGCGCTTATATAGAGGGCGGTTGAGGGTGAAACGCGCTTACTGCTCGCTGATCGATCTGTGATGCGGAAGTGGACTGGCACGAGCGTTTTCCCTCTTCAGTGAAATAATAGTTAAAATAACTGGCACGAGCGTTTTCCCTCTTCAGTGAAATAATAGTTAAAATATAACAATCACAAGCACACGCCTGGCCACTTTTGCCTAAAATTTTGACAAAATCACGCTCCTGCCAGTCCACTTCCGCATTACAGATCGACCAGCGCGCAGTAAGCGCGTTTCACCGCCCTCTATATAAGCGCCCTGTAATGGACCAATTGCGTAATAGACCAACTTACTATCTAGGCATTCAGGAAGAAATAAACCACCACAGCTAAAAAGAGCATACCAAAATTAGTATAATTGCCAGGTTTGGTTGCAAAATGTCAACTAGTACGGAAAATATAGCAACGCGAATTTGGTAAAGGTATACAAAATTGCCAAATTCGCATGGCTATATTTTACGCGCCTTAATTACAATATTTCGCAGCCAAACTTGGCAATTTTACTAATTTTGGTATGTACTGTTCGGAAATTCCCTTTTTGTCACCTAAATAAAAAGTTGGTCTATTATGCAAACGGTCCATTCTTTGTGGCGAGATGTGGTAGTTATTTGAAGCCTAAGTGTGATACAGTATATGTTTACATAAAACAAGACCCGTTTACACTATACCGGATTCACATGGTCACGACTTCACTTTAAGTTGTTTTATGGTATCTCTGTCCCCAGAACTTTTTTTATTTTACGAATCATGTTGAAGCAATCATACGATATATCTTTTAGGGTTCAACTCGCTTTGACATGGCTAGATTTGATATCGTGAACATTGAACCGGTGCAGTGTAAACAAGGTCCGATTGTATAAAATATTCTCACCATGTTGCCCAAGCCACAATAAAGCTAAACAAAAACAAACATATATTTAAATAATTGCTTGGCCTATACTTCACAAAGAATTTGCGAGCACATGACACCACAGCCGAAGCAGAAATTAATAATTTAATGTGTCTGAGTGAACACTATACGAAACTTTACAGCGCAAGTAAATCAATATAAAGCTTTACCTGACTGTAAACTTTTCGGCGAACTATCCAGATTCGAGAATATCAGTATATAATAATATATAACTTGATGCACTTACTAAATTAAATTTATCTCTTTTGTTAATACTATTTATAGCTTTTGCTAGAACATTACCATATTTGGGCGTTATCTGACCAATCAGAGCGAGATATTTTTTATAATTAACGGTGACATTTATGTTATAATAGTTCATTCACTTCATTTCAATCAAAGTTTCAGTTAATATATAAATGCTAATCTATTACGCGTTAATGCTAAACTGTTTCACGTTGTGCTAGACCATTTCAGTTTATGCTAGACCATTTCAGTTTATGCTAGACCATTTCAGTTTATGCTAGACCATTTCACGTTATGCTAGACCATTTCAGTTTATGCTAGACCATTTCAGTTAATGCTAGACCATTTCAGTTAATGCTAGACCATTTCAGTTTATGCTAGACCATTTCAGTTAATGCTAGACCATTTCAGTTTATGCTAGACCATTTCACGTTATGCTAGACCATTTCAGTTTATGCTAGACCATTTCAGTTTATGCTAGACCATTTCAGTTTACGTCAAACCATTTTAATTAATGTTAAACCATTCTTGTTTGTGCCTGACCGTTGCAAGTCATGCTAAACCATTTCAATCTATGCTAGACCATTTCTCACACTATCGCTAAACCAATTCAGTCAACGCTGGACTAATCCAGTTTATGCTAGACCAATTATGCAAAGATCGTTAAACCATTCAAAAACTGTGCTGACCGTGCCTATTTTGCACGTTCCAAATCACAAATGAACGCTATACCGCTTCACTAAATAATGTTCCATTAGTGTTTTGTCTAGACCAATTCACAATATGCTAACCCATTTTACATTTCATGTATTTTTGGTGGTCATGGCCGCCCATACTCTTAAATTGCTTTTCAGCTTCGTTAAAAATTTTTTTCTGAGTAACTCTCCAGTAAATCTGCACTATGAGCTTTAATGAAGGACTGGGCAAGAGATGTTTATGTTTTTATTTGTTATTATCTACTGTTAAAAGGTGCAAAACATAAAACTGAATTGTGGTTGGTAGTTTAATTTTTATTAGAATACCTTTTACCAACTTTCAGATGTAATAAGTTGCAAAATGTCTGGGGAAAATAGGGAAACACAGACACTTATGAATTTACCGATGCAGCTGCACTGATCGTTCGACGTTTTTCATTCAAAAAGGCAGTTTAATTACGAATTCCTTACGGATAAGTTTAAAATATATCACTCCGTAGTGTTGACGGAGATTTAAAATAAAATAAAATGCCGATGGGAGTGCATTTTACGTCCACTTGACGATGTTTTTTATTGCTTTCATGTTGAACCATTGTTTTGTTTTGGACATTTAAAAAACCCGCGTATATCTGTTGCGTGGAAAGACTGGACACGACCCCCAAAATTTGGCTTCAAATTTCCGGCCGGAGGTAGCCTTCCAGTTCTTTTGAGTTCACTGGTCTGATGTGACATTTCAAATGTCATCTACATTAAACGACCCCGACATGCGTTGCGAACGCTTGTTGTTTACGACCCAACATGCGTTGCGAACTCTTGTTGTTTACGACCCAACGTGCGTTGCGAACGCTTGTTGTTTTGCAGTCAAACGGAATCCGCTGTATCTTAAACACAAACATATCAAATATTTAAACCACCCAAATTGTCGATAATGTTTTGACTGTAGAAGCCTCTTGAATATGCAAATGTTTGACTTGTTTGTTTTGATGATGCCAACCAAATCTGGATAATTTGAGTGTTGATAGTCGCAAGTTTCGAAACGAAAAGTTTTCAAACCATCGGGTAGTCTAGTACAATATTTGTTGAGATTTAATATTCCACAAATTTACCGAAATGGACGACATAAATACTTCGACCGGAGCAAGAGCCCTTTCGAAGGAGAATGTTCCAGCAACAGAATTTTCTTCGCAGTCCAATATAGTGGCAAATATGGAGGTGTCTGATACAAAGGGTCGATCAACTCTCATAAATCAGGACTCGCCCTCGGGAACACTAGAACGCGATTCTAAGGAGGGCAGAAGGAAAAACTCGGCTGAAATGGACATGGACCCTGTAGAAAGTGGCGGGTTTCAAAGGTTTGATAATATGCAAATAGAGGTTAGTTCTTCGAGTTTGACCTATCATTTGACAAATTAAATATTTCATGTACACTCCTTGACTTTGCTTTGTTTACTTTTGGTGAGCTATAGCTGTTAGCAATATAGACATCGGCTGACACATTTGTGTACTATTGGAATCGGTCCATTTGTTGTTTCTGGCCCAGAAACAGTACAGAGACTTGATATTACTATTGCCCACTGCCGGGCAGTGGGCAATAGTAATATCAAGTCTCTGTACTGCAAAATGTAGACTTTTGAGAACAATAATTAACGACACCCAGAATTGCCGTCATGCCATTCATTTGCCTGCTTTACTGTTTTCATGTAAATGAGCATACAGAAATTCTTTCGTTATTCGTGAAACTATTACTCAGCATATCAGTGTATATACAAATTTCCCCACTGTAAATAATTAGATTGTAGAGCACTGACAGGGTGTAAGGAATATACAGCAGACACTCTTTTTAGTCGTGTCCCCGCCTAGAGTATATTCCATTCCACATCATTCTCTGACATTACTCTGGCAAATTAATGACATGTTAGTGAGCCTACTGCCAGAGCAAAAGGCTGCTGAACTGGTTTGTCTTCTATAACCTTATGTTGCTTGTAAATCGCATAAAAATCATGGATATACATGTTGTAGTGTTAACAGAGGCCCTACTGTATATTGTGAATTGCAATTTTCTCATGCACAATATACAACAATAACAGAAAGTACCTGCTGCTATTACTGGTACTGGTATGCTAGCAATTTAATCATATAATATATGGGATTAAAAGAATTTCTAGCCAATGGTTAATTAGATTTTAAAGATATTAAGAAGCATTTTGCTAAGGTGGGCAAAATTTAGCATACTGCTAGCAGATGGCTTGGTACATTGAACTTGATAGTGCAAGATTATATTGTTCTTGTAAAGCAAACCCTGTTTGGTAGAAATACTATATAAATTTATCATGTATGTACAGCTCAGCAACCCAGATTTAATGCTAATGTTAAAGGGGGGAAAGAGGGCTTAACAACAGTGGTATTTTCACATTGGTTTTCTTATAATGATGGATAGGCTACTTGATTTAAAATTGCTGAAATTTCACATTAATCTAAACCCCCCCCCTGGGCCATTTTATTCAGAATTATAGGAAACCAAACCTTACTAACTCTTGACGTTTTAAGAAATATTGCAATTCAAACTGTAAACAAAGCTTTTCTTTGCATTACAGACTTAACCCTCTCTTAAAGCTTTAACAAAATTTTCCTAAAAAATTAGTCATTTGCCAAATGGATGATGTACTAGTACACAATAATATTATATCTCAGATTAGCATAATCAGTTTTAAAATTATGGGAATAGAGCTGTAGATGTTGTGTCGATACCATTTTTTAGGGAATTTATATGAAACATTACTGCTTTTGGATAGTGTACCCCTTGGGTAATTTCTGGATAAATCTTTTACACTTTTCTTGCTATGATGCATGCTTTTGAGGTTGTTATAATTTTCTATTTTTTTGCAAATCTTCTTGTTTTGTCCTTTAGTAACAATCCTCACTAGTTTGCTAATAGTAATAGGAAGATTACTTGGTCCATATATTCATTGACAGTAGCTTTTGGCAAAACTCATTTATTAAATTATTTAAGAACTATTGAGCAACTAGGTCTTAGTATAAGGCTTGTTCCATTTAATTGTAATTGTGAACATGTCAAGCTGGATGATGTGATAGAATATTTCTATTTGTGTGCCGTTAACGATGGCCAATTTAAATAGAGATCAAATTCTTTCTCTCTTTTGTCATTACCATCCACCTTTAGTATACACCCGACTATTGCCTATTACAAATCCTACATTCTGATTGGCTACTCAACCATTGTCTATTCGTGATGGTGAACGTTTGGGAAAAATTCGCTCGCGCAACCGTATAAAATTTAATTAATTAAATTATTTTTCGGTGTAATTGTGGTGTATCGATTATTTTCTCGAAATTAATATATCTAGGTACAGGGTGTATCTCGGACTCGTTGTCTAATCGTTAAATAGAAATACCGTATTTACCGCAGCGGCGCTCTTTAAAAAAATTATTTGTGAATTGTAGCAAGAACTCGATGAAATAAACAAGTTTTAAATGTCTTTTAATTGCCACTAAATATACCCATTTTGCAGCAGAAAACTCTTACACTGTTCATAGTCACATGCAAGTTTACAAAATATCAATGTCACTGGCGCTTTCAAGTTGCCAGCTGCTGTTTCTTCGTGTATGCCAATGGTGCCTAGCTATTCGTCGTACTTTTCAGTACAAGAGGCTTTAAATGGCTCGTTCCAACTCGCGTCTGGCGCATGAATGTACTTGGCACAGCCTCCTGGAACAATTACACGATCGACTTTCTTTGCTTTCAGTGACTCATAAGCGCTATCCTCCAAATGGGATTCGTAGTAGTCCCAAGTTAACAGTCTGTGGTTGAATGAGGATTCTCCAAGGAGTTGATCCAAACTTTGTTGATCGTAACGTCTATTAGGTATTCATCCAAGCGTTGTCTGAAGTTGCAACGACTGCTTTATGTTTGAACTCTTGAGTCAGTATAGCGGCCATGCCGGTCTATTAAATGTTTTTTATTATTGTGTTTATACGTTTTATTTAGTGTTTCATGTACAAAAGACCACTGTCATTTCTGAACATCGTCTGAGCTTTTCCCAATTTTGTAAACATAAGGTTCTTCTCGAACCTTACTCCTTCGGCTATAGTTTTAATTTTTAATAATAGTGTTCATAGTCCAATTTGTTGTTAAAATATCCATTCAAACCCACTTTTTTGGAAATTGGAACGAAACAGCAAATATGCATGTGACCGATGTTTGCCGGAGTGAACCCTTATATAGCTATATCTACTCTGACCAGGTGATCTCGCAAAGCATTTAGTGCGCGCGTTTTGTTATTTATATATTTCGCAACGAATTCTAGCGAATACAGCATGAAATGACGGGTTTCATTATTTCAGGCGTTGTTTTGGCGTTTTTTTGTTAATTACGGTGAAAGATTGATGGAATAAGACGTAGTTGTCTTTTTATAGAACTTCACTGAGGACAATGATATACTAGAAAATCTATAATTATTATTTAGTTAGTTTGGGTTTTACGGGAATTTGATTTTGCAGTCTTGTATTTGGTCTCATATTCCATAGCATTTATCACCAAAACACGCCAAAAATTATCCGCATAAAAAGGTGTTTTCACACAGCTTTATCTTTATTTAATATTGGCTATACTTTTGTTATTTCAGTAAATATTTTCAATTCTAAATTTTGTTTATGTTCATGTTTCTAACCCGCTATATTATATTAAATTAACGAATATGTTGTACTACAGCGGCAGGCCTAGCCAATATTTATTTTGAAACTGAAAAAATGTCCTTTTTGACGGCTTCGCTGCAATACTTGAGAAAATACAAATTCTTTCGATGCACAAAACCATTACCAGAAATTTGCGACATGATAATTTGCATTTATACTAATTTGCATTTAACTTTCAGCATAATGGCCTTCAACTTTTACTATAAAATACATATAGTAAATATACAAAACCTAAAAATGCCTTGCCAGACGGTGCCTACTGTTTGCCGACCTCTGGGTCAATAGAACAGCCGTTTCCCAACGTTTTAATGATCGAATTACTTACCTTAGGTATTTCTACGTTTGGCCAACTGATTGTGAACAAATGTGTATATAGCCTTTGTATTGTTCAAGTTCCTGATAAGACTGATAATATTTTTTAAAGTGATTGCAGTGAAAATCCGAGCCGTACAGAAAAGTTTATACGCAAATACAAAAGACAATATCTTTAACAATTTTTTTTGGTATATTACACGCGTCAATAATTTATCAACTACCTGAATCGAGATATTCGAATCAATGTGAGCGATTTTATAAGTTCGTTGACAGAACACGGATAAAAACTTTGAGCATATATTTTTAAATTTGGCAGATTGCAGAAATGCCCAAGCTAAAAAATTTGGTCACCAAAACGTTTCTAAACAGCTGCTCTACCGATCTAGAGGTCGGCAAACAGTAGGCAAGGTCTAAGGCAACGGCATTTTTAAGTTTTGTATATTTACTCCATGTATTTTATAGTAAAAGTTGAAGGCCATTATGCTGAAAGTTAAATGCAAATTAGTATACATGCAAATTATCATGTCGGAGGTTAGCGGAGGATTTGTGAGCGCTTTGTGTGCGTTTAAATATATTTTACGAGGGACAAACGGGAATAAGGTAAGCGAACGAAATATTTATATATTACGGAACTAGACAACTTCGAGTAATAACTTCAAGTTTCGTTGGCAAATTTTGTCCGCTCATGTCATTTTTATTGCCTGTTTTATAATCATTGCCATCTATTTGACATGCATTATTACAGTAATGGTCGTATAGAAATCTAAATTTCATAAAATTCGGAAGGGACAAGTCGCGATTTGTAGAATACGATAAGTAGTTAGTGGGCAATGTAGGCCGACGCTTACTCTACAATGCCTTGCTTTCGTTTTTTGTGGTTCACAAACAGTTTAGCTAATATTTTGAATGAATTGTGCTCTTCTGATACAATTTCACATAAAAAATATTTTAATTAAAGCAATTAGATACGTGCGTTCGACGTGTTACGCAATCGCGTTTTTCTGGTGATGCATTGTCGAACGTTTCCCGGACTGGCCAGGGAGTAACGCGATTTCGTCAGCTCTTGAAGAAAAAGACTTTCCATTTAAAGTGTCAAACGATAATAAATCACCGCCAGGAAGAGCAACCTGCTTTTCGAAGCTTGAAATTCTTTAGAAAGCAATAAACTTCGGCTATATTTTTACCCTCCATGGTTCCATCGCTTGTTTTTGAAGCGCGCGAGATTTGAGCTATTTGACAAGGTTCGGTTTTGCGCTGATTGACAAAAATATCCGACTCAGATCACCTACCCCATAGGCCAGGGTGTTAGTGAGGTCAATAGGATGCAAATCATCGTCAACTTCACTGCACTTTAATTTCGCCCCTTGTTTTATTCCTGTGTATTCTCAACAATCATGTTTAGTTTTTCACGGCATATGGCCAATTAACGGTTTCCAAACATGGTTTTAATTTCGTTTGGAAAATGCATTTTTTCATGTTGAAAATTTATTTAGACTATTAGGTGGATATGTACTGAAACCATACAAGATTTCAATCTATTGTTTCATTGCAGGAAAACAATGGGGGTACAAAAACCATGTATCGTTTGCAGAAGAAGAATAGTAGATACTATTTCCAACATCCATACTGTCGAGTGATCATTGCATATATCATTGTGTTCTTCAACTTCCTTATATTTGCCGAGGATCCTGTATCGCATAGTCTTGTAGAAGCTGAACTGCCAGTGGTAGGCAATGACGTCGGCTTTCTTATATTCAGGTAAGACAGCCCAGATGATTAAAGTTGAGAACGAATAATAAAAATACACTAGCGTTTTGCTATTTATTTACCAATCGTATGTCACAATGTCTTTGCAATACATAAGTGCAAAGTGTAAAATGTAATGTATAGGCTGCATCTGTCAAATATATGAAATTAGTATAATTACTAAGGTGATTATTGAAAATTCTGGCCTCTGATTGGTCAAGCAACCTCGGTTCGCTTAAGCAACCATCTAAGCGGTTTTTCAAAATGGCGGCAAGTTGTTTCTATCAAAGTGACAGATGAAGAATTGCGTTACTTTAACGAAAATACTGTACCTGAAAGCACCAAAGAAGTTAAAAAATAGGCATAAAATTATTTTCAAGGTAAAAACCTCTTTGTAGAACGCTTTTCAACTTTATTTTGCGAAAACATCGTTTATTTAGTCGCCGTAAAACTGTTGAGATATTTGTTCACGTTTGTAAAACATGTATTCTCTACAACAGATTCTTCATTTTCTCAATTATTCACCTCAGGCTCGGTGAATATCACTGAATGAAAACCTCGACTTCGTCTGGGTTTTTATTCAGAGATATTCACCCCGCCTTTGGCGAGTAATTGTTAATTAATATAATAAAGTAAAATCTCGGGTATAAGAACTGAGTGCAAAAGGAACCTATAGCCAATGAATTTTACTATTGTATTCATTTTATCGGTTTTTCGAAGTCTGTTTTCTTTTTAATCAATCTTGTTTTATTTTCCTCAGATACCCACCTGGAGGTTGGTCTGTGTTGAAGGTGTTTATTCTTCTCTGTGGTATTTTGGTCGGCATGTTAATTGGGAAGTTTATCGTCCACAAACGTTTGTTACGAAAACTCCTCAAATTGCGAATGTTTCAAGACGATCAAGGTTCCTGGATGATCATGTTTTTAACAACAATTATTTCTCTGTTTATATTCTCCTACATTTTTAACGGCTTTCTAAGTCTCGGCTCAGACTTGGATCGATATAAATTATCAAGCTTCTTCGGCGTGTCTAATGCAAATTTCATGAAATTCGCTGCACTCGGAACATGGACAGGCGATTTTGTCACTGCTTGGATGGTTACAGATATGATGTTGCAAGTAAGTACTACGTAATATTTTTTGCCATGGTGCACATGTTTTGTGTAGAATACTAATACTAATATATTGAGTATTGACTATCAAGGAATTCAATCTATCTACATTTTTTTGTGATGGAGTGAGGGGGGGGGTTAGTGCGAGCTTTCAATCTGAAATAAAGAATTGCGCCGTGTGAGAAATCTCTAGAAACAAGGCTAGTTTTCTTCAACGAATTCAAACATAATTGATTTTCTTTTATTAAGGAAAAATTGTATCCGACATGGGCTGTTTATCTACGAGCAATTTGGAAACGAAAATGGCATCGTATCATTGCATTTTGGGCAGTTTGGATTCTGGCAACAATTATTGTCGCGACCGGTATTACTACAGATTTTATAAAATGGGATGATCTCAATCGTGATTTTGTCTCTACAAATGAATTGTCACGCGCCTTTCTCGCGTCAATAATTCTTGTCATGGATTTACTGATCGTCATGCAGGTCAGTATGTTATGCAGTATGTGTAACGTTTGGTATGTATGTCAGTATATGTGACGTTTGGTAATAATTTGGTAATGTTGGCGAAGAAAATATTTCTAATTAATAAACATGAATATATATATGTATATAGCCCGCACCTCAATTAAACAGTACAGCTCCCCTACAACCCCTCCCGACATCAATTAAATAGTCTAGATAAGCCCTGGCTGGCGTAAAATTTATTGTCAGTGATCTTCTAACATGCATACCATAATGCGCCAAATATTGGTCAACCTGATACTCTAATTCCATAATCAAAATCGAAGCTATTTTCCGAAAGCTACAGCAGAGAGCAAGGTCCACCCGCCATTTTCTTTGAAAGTATGTGCTGTATGTCTGACAAAACTCTTCGACCAGTTTTGAAATTCGATTTTTAAACGCTGTGCTTTTTGTACTCGCTAGTGTATACGCTTAAGAAAATTTAGGTTTAAAAAGCCTGAAAGCACCCAAACGATATGAATTACTTTAAAAAACAACTATGATCAACATGTTCTGTCCGTTTCCCCTGAGGTGGGTTATAATTTGACCAAGGATTGACCAATGTTTGGAAGACGGTAAATTACCTTTTCTCAGGATAACGAATCCCATGTATGTTATGACTTTACTCGTTTACTACAAATGTATTCTAAAATGTATATTTAAGGTGGCTCGCTACAGTTTTTTAAAATATTGAAAACTTGTGGTTTTTATTTAAAATTTCAGCACGAGATTTCTTGCTAAGGAAAAGAAATTTCCCTGATATATTAACCAACATTCTAACAGTCAGAAATTGCCCATAAGCATGACGTCATTACCGTTGTTATGGTAACAATGCCGTTTCAATATGGCCGACATTTTACCTATTCATGCATTTTACTCGAAAACAAGTTCGGCTACCCCAATTTTTTATTTGATAAAAAGTTTTCTTACAAAAAATGGAAAATTTGAACTAGTTAAAAAAAATTCTATAGAGCCAAAATTATTAGAAATTAAAAAACGTGATTTTTCGTTATAGAAATTTTTTGGCTCTATAAAATTTTTTTAAACTTGCTCATATTTCCCATTTTTTTTGTAAGAAAACTTTTTATAAAATAAAAAATTGGGGTAACCGAACTTGTTTTCGAGTAAAATGCGGGAATAGGTAAAATGACGGCCATATTGAATCGCCATTGTTACCATAACAACGGTAATGACGTGATACTCAAAGACAATTTTCGACTGTTAGAATGTTGGTTAATATACCTGGAAAATTTCATTTCGTTTAGCAAGAAATTTCCTGCCAAAAATTTCAATCTAAATCATTAGTTTTCAATATTCTTAAAACTGTAGGGAGCCACCTTAAAATTTCCTTTTTCCTAATTCTGTCAAACAATGGTTTTTCATGCCAATCTTCCATTTTAACGATTTCGCGTGTCATTATATTTGAAATATTATTTTGTATACAAATCTTAAAATCTTTCACCATAGGGATTTTTTAAAATGGTACAAAAAGTAGGCTAAGCACTGTATATGAGATGAGGAAACAGGTGCAAATTTGTTAAAACGATCTGGATGCATGATTGTGCCAAACTCTAGGTAGGATTTTGGCTAACTGATTGACAAGCTTTTTTTATGACTGCGGTTTATTAACTCGCATTGCGCAATGCGCAAGCGAGTTCTTAAAATGGGAAGCGTTCTTAATATTTTTATGGTCGAGAATTTCGCGACCCGCAAGGTGCGATAAGGTGGGCTGACCTGCAAGCCACGAGCTACGCAGGCGTGGTTGCTAAGCTAAAGTGCATGCTGCATTGCTGAGTGCATTCGTTCATGACGTTCATCGTTTTCTTGAGGACAAAAGACGATAAAAATTCAAGATATTTCGAAATGTGGCTTCCAAGTGCCATATTTATCTTAACGCTCACCTTACATACAACTGCACACGCCGAGCACAGTACCCTACACTAAAAGATGCCGAGCGTTTTCGAAACGGGGTGTTCTGTTGCTGTCATGCTTTTAAACTTCATGTTGAGCCAAAGTTGCTTCATATCGCTATGAATTCCCTGATCAAACTGAATACAATCTCAAATCAATCTCACGAGTTCTCACGAGTTTTCACGCCCGTTCCGTTGCATAGCTGAACAACTATGGCAAGCCCAAACACACGCCTGAGTAAGCGTCTTTTTTGTCATTGCCCTAGCTCGACTCAAGCAATGCGAGTTTAATGCCTAGCGGGCATCTTGTTTATTTAATAACGTTGCCAGTGAAGTAGCATAGTACATATAAAAATTATAGTACATTACAAATTTTTTGGCCAATTATATTATAACTGTTTTTTTAGGATTGGGATTTCCCTCACTTTCAATCAGCTATTGACATTAAACTACCTGGTGTAAACACATCGTCGATTCACTTCACCCCACCGCGTTGCCTGAGAAAAGAAAATTGGGCTGTGCATGTCACTGGTAAATGGTTCAACTATGGGATTATATTTATTGTTATGATTCTTGATTTGAACATGTGGAAAAATCAAATCTTTTATGATCCTTTTACCTTTGGGCAATACACCGATTCAAACGGGTACATATACACTGTGTCTAACACAACGTTTGTGAAGTACGCGAATGAAACAACTCTTTCTTACAATTGGCGTTGGAATAATATTAATCCATTGACCAACACAACCTATGGTGCAGATGACTTCAAAATGAATTCAAAATATTTGGATTTTTCATTGGGCGTGAAAGGTTTAGCTTTTGTTCCTTCCATTGTCGCATTTATTGTGTTTGGCTTGCTCGTATGGTTTTATGGCCGCGACGAAGCAGTAACTGTCGTGCCAGAACGAAGTCAGGTTGATGGAATAGTGATAGATGAGTGGAAATACGAAGAAAAAAAAGAGTCGGATAAGGGTATGTGTAAGATATCAAATGACCTTTTCCAGCTGTTATTACTTGATAATATCCGAGACAAAGGTATGCTAGGACTTATTTTCTGATATTAAAGGGAAAAAATGTGATCTGTTTACTTGAGACCACCGATGTTGCATGAATGAATACATTTTTTCAACAAAAAGGCAGTAACTAGAGAAGTTGGAAACGTGCTTTTCATGGGTTCGTTGTTAGGGAAAGCAATAATGGTACTCTTGCAGAAGCATGAAGATTGTAAGCCCACCTCGCATTTAGACTTCGTGTCGAAAAAGGGCAAAAAATCCCTACAATCTAGGGCAAAATCGTAGAATTTCGCTTTGTTGTTGGAAATTTTCTGGAAGTTGCTGATTGCTGTTATCATGTTATTTTACCTTGACGTTTCCGTCATGTTATTTTACCTTGACGTAGCTTACAATTCATGTTGTTTATATACCCAGTTCTCAGCCCATCCTCAGGACACCTTAAAAATGTTTTATTGAGGGAATTAGAAAAAGCCAAGAGATAAATTAGTTTCCTTAAATGGTTACAGCTGAAGTCATGAAAGAAAGCATATAGTTTATCAAGTTCGACTAAGATACGTGGATATTGAAATAATGAACTACATAAACCTTATGTATTTTCGTTTTCGAACTTTTTCTGTTTTAAATTTAATTTATAGGCGAAGGAGGTGATAAGGAGAAAGTTGAAACAAGCGAAGATCACGCGGAAAAAAAGCCACGTCCAACCTCTGTTCCAATGCCTGTTGAAGAGGACAGTAGTAAAAATAGGCCTGTGCTCACCAAGTATGAAACGAAAACGCTGCCGTAATTGTCAGGATCTATATGTATTCACAGTATATTTATGTATGAATGGTCACATTATTGATTATTTAGCATGTAGAATAATATTTGTTCAAAATCTTTGTGCCATAACAAAAGTATTTATTCAGTTTTTTAAAGAATAATTTGACGTATTGAAATTCAATATTCACGCACTTGCATTTTGTGTGTACGCATGCATGTATATATATTTTCTATTCATTTAAATTTAGTGAAATAAGCACACGCAACTTCAGTCTTTATAACAGTTGCCCCTCAACCACCTTATACGCTACAAAAATGCGGCTTAGCCTTGGCCATACATTTTTTCCGTTCTGAAACACGAAACATGAATGATCATAGTAGCATTGTACTATCTTAAAAAGATTTTACTTAGTAGACTTTTAAATGTGTGATAAATTTTTAATATTGCATGTCGAAGCTGTTGTATTATATGTTGATATTCAAGGGATAATCAATAAATCTTATCATCATCAATTTCGCACCAATGCAGGTGAGGACGGGAACGTCAAGAGTACGTAAGATGGACGTGTAATATGGCGCGAAAATGTGGGTGTGGCGTTGTTTTGTAGACGACGTCGTCTCAGTGCTTTAGTGAATAAACACATTTTTACCTAGGACTATAGATCCATCAAAATGGTTTCTTTAAAGATACCCGCATGTACAATATCCTCAATTAGCTAATAATGTTCATCGTTTGTGGTGTTAAAACAGTTGGTGAATCAATTATGATTTTTGGCACTTCAATCGATGCAGGTAAGTTTTAGAGGTTCAAAGGGTCTTAATTTCGAGTGGAATTATACAGACTTTAAATTCAAGCCAGGAACAGTTGGTGGAAAAGTGAGTCAACTATCAGTCCTCCGGCAGGAATCGAAGCTACGATTTTGCGATGCCGGTGCAATGCTCTTGTCACTAAGCTACAGAGGTAGCTGAAAAGATTTTTGTATTACCACCTATACACATTAACCACACTTGCTCTTGTCAGCTACCCCTGTAGCTCAGTGGCAAGAGCATTGCACGGGCATCGCAAAAGCGTAGGTTCGATTCCTGCCGGAGGACCGATAGTTGACTCATTTTTCAATCATCTGTTGCTGGCTTGAATTTGAAGTGTGTATAATTCCACTCGAAATTAAGACCCTTTGAACTTAGAGATCCATGGTTTTGTTCAACATTTAACGTGATTTTCAAACAGATTGTTCACGTTATCACGTATTTCATACAGGCAAAGTATAATTTTTTTACGACCTTGTTCCCAGGGACCTTGATTCTGGATTCTGGATCGACCAGCCGCTTCTGACTTCCGATTGGTTAAATGACTTCCTAAATTATGTGTAGTTAGCAGAATTTTATTTAATTATTCCGAACCGAGCAAATAAATAGGGGTGCGATCAAAGGGTGCGGTAAATGGCGTAAAACAAGACTCCAATAACCATGATCTGCACCTTGATTCTGTTAATTTATTTATTCTTATTTAAAATACTCACGAAATGTTGGGTATTTTGAACGGCCGATCCCAGGACTTTCCTCTTCGCTCCCCCCCCCCCCTGTGGCAGATCTAAGGGTCTATAGAATAAATTACTACAGCTTAAAATCGGAATTGCATTTGCAGATTTTCATCAAAAAAATATTCTTTTCAAATCTATAACCAATAGCGTTGTTATTAAGGTGTTTTGAATTTATTCGTAATTTATTCTATAGGGGGTTGCCCCTATAAAGTCCGAAAAGGCCCTGGGAACGAACGGTTGAATTTGTTTACTTTTGACACAACATTTCTTAATTTCGTTTTTCTTTTTTTCAGCATTGAAAATGAGTAAGTGCAGTTTGCTCTATGAAAGACAAGAAGGATTGCCCAAACAAAAGGTATTGTACACACATCAAAGCTTAGCACAATTTTATTAATTTTATTTGATATATATATATATATATACAGCTTAATATATATACAACACTATCGCCCAGAGTTTGCTCACTAGTACTTCAGTAATAAATTAAAATTTCTGTGGAAAATGTAAAATATTTTGGTAGGTCCAGCATAGTGTGGTCAAAAGACAAAGACCTAGTACTTTTGAAAGCAGTTGCAGCTCTAGGTGTTCTGACACATAATCAAAGGTCAAAAGAACGTGGTCTGGGGTGGCAAATTGCTGATAATGTTAGTACTTTTAGATCAGGCAGTCACTTTGAGAGGGTCAGAGAGCGCTAACGTTTGGCAGCAAAGAAATATCGTGCCCAAATGGCTAGAGCACGATGCGACAGGAGAAGGTGGTGAAGAAATGACAACGAGCTACAGGAAAAGGTGGTGAAGAAATGACGGAGTATGAAAGCAGAGGGTGGAATTGGAAAAAGAGGAGAGGGAGTTAAAACAGGCAGAAAAACGGGAGCACATGTAGATGCAAGTGAACCAAGATATGGAACTTTTGCAGGTAATGCAACAAAGTCAGCAACACTTCTAAAAAGTTAATAAATCTAAAATATTTTGTGATGTTTCCAATCATCCACTCCACAGAGATTCGAACCTGACTCATCTCTTGGTTGAATTACATCATCTCGGGTGTTAGCTCCCTTTCTCTAAATGGTACTTGTAGGTGAACCAAAACAAACAGACGACGAAAAATAAAAAAACACAAAAAAAACAAAAACAAAACAAAACCAAGGCGAGGAAACATCTGGAGGACAACTTTTAATGATTATGACCTCAGTGCAATGGGTCTATACACATGGCACCAAATGGGTTTCTTCCGTGTCACGTCTCATGATAATTAAAATTTGTTGTTGACAGTTGACAGTTGTAAAAAACAGCTTGACGTTCATAAGCGGTAACTACATTAAGATTTGTATACCAAACTACAATTATACAATTACAATGACTCTTCAAAGTAAAAAAACACTTGTAGCGTTGAGAAATTTCGAGATATGCAATAAATTATATTTTTGTCACGTGAAATTCGACTTATGAAAACCGAATCACTCGCCGGATTTGCGACCTATTATTTCGACAAAATAGTTGACAGGCACAATTTTGCTCAATATCTGTCGATGCGCATAGATACCGCAGTAAATTACACAGCCTGTACAAAATGCACTAGACTTGCCGCACTTATGGATGGAGAGAGTCTTTTGGGCTGGAGACGAACTGATCAATCCCCCCTATACCTGCCTATACAGTGTATACTATGATTGCGGGTTTTGAATATTATATCAAACGTTTAGGGTATTTTAAGAAACTTTGCCATACATTTTGTTATTGAAAAACTGAAAATATTTATTAGGGCTGCTTTCAACGATTGAATAGATGCATAGGGTTGGATTCTGTTGACGATTTGGGGTGTTTCTCTGGCATAAAATTAATTATGCAACAACTTAGCAGGTTTTCAGCTTTTATGTGCGTATATATACGTACCGAAACCATTGTATAGGCACTTTTATAATTTCGACAAAAGAGTGCAAAATGTACAACTAAAGAAAAGCGAATGTAAATGTCGATATACGCACAGAAAAAACAACTATTCTGGCATTCGATCGCCGTACCCTTATCTACGTTTACTTATACACAGCGATTTTAAAAGAAATAACTGATTTAACGCCAGTGCAGCTATTCTAAAATAACAAGAGATAAAATAACTAGAGATTTTATCTTACTAATAGTCTAATTATTCAGTTCACATTGAGATATTCAACTACAGCCAACAGGTTGTTTAAAAGTTGGCTGTCAGCGGCCGGTAATATCAAGCCTGTTTAGCTAAAACGGTGGTTAAGTTCAAAATAGAAAGCAAGTCAATCGTTTTACTTAACAAGCAAACTAAATGTTTTTAACTTTAATACAAAGATATACTGTTTACAACTACACTACTTCAGTGCATAATATTCAAGTCGACTCATTCAAGAGAGATGTAACAGTGTTATTTCATCACGGTTTGATTTATCCACCGTTTAAGCTAAACGGGCTTGATACAACCGGCCCAGCCTCGTTCCCAGGCGCTTTTTTACAGTAGATCAGTGGCTAAGCAGAGCGAGCACGCAAGGAATTTTGGGGAGGACCCAGAGAAGGAAGCGCCTGGCAGAAAATGCATAAAACATGGCGGCTATATATGCGGTAAAAGTTAAAGGCCATTATTGTTGAAAGGTTGTATGCAAATTAGTTTATATGCAAATCACCATGTCGGAAATTTCTGGTAAGTTAATGAAAGAACGGATTCGTAATTAAAAATATAACAAAGCCATTGATCATGGATTTTGCCATAAATATTTCTATGCAATAAAAATCTACTAAGGCTATTAAGAATGGCAAAATAGAACTGTATAGTAATTTATTCTCCCTTATCTTGGATCCGCCTGCATGTATAGATGTCTTGCCACCGAATATATTTAAGCCTGAAGCTTTAATGCGTTCCAGACACCGTCTGAATAACTTTGCGCGATTTCACGAGAAATAATGCTGCCATCGTAGCAGAACATGTAATGTAGTTTGCCTTTTAGACCAATAATGTAGTTCCCAAAAGTTCCAAACCTTTTGTGAATTGGTGTACCAACAATTAACTCTTGCGGATGAAATAAGTCTTCAGGGTTGGTTTCCGTGAAGACAGACCCAATATTCGATACGGTAAGAGACGACTTCTTTCGAGACGCTAGTTTAAAGTGTATATGAAATAAATTTTTTTCTTCGCTTTTTCTCTTTCTTATTATCTTTTTTTTACTAAAACCACAAAAAAAATATCAGAAAAATTTTAGAAAGCAATGATTTTGCTTCGCAAAATAGTTAAAAATGACCAATAAATTAGTCAATTTTTGTCAAGGAGACTGGAACTAGAACTGCCACTGATGACGTAGAAACCTTGACACGCGATCGAAATATTTTATTGTTTACTTGTAAAAGACGAACGTACAATTACAAACCGTTCAAAAGATATAATATACCCACTATGAGCGACCTTAGCGAACACGATGAGTCTTCAAGCTCAAAATCAAGTTCAGAATCAATCAGCAGTGATTCTGGTGAAGATAATATCACTGTAAGAGGAGTGCAACCTTATCAAGACGAACCTCTTGCTAACTCGAGCGACGAAGAGGAAGATGAGCTTGACGAAGATGGTCTGTCTTCAACTGTTCTTTGTTCAAGATTCGAACGTCAAGTTTCCTTTGATCAATGGTATAAGCTTACTGCTAATATTGCATATATTTTGATCGTTGGACATATTTCAATGCACGTACATCACATGTGATAGGTGTAAGTGTGGGCAATGCTGTACCGAGCAACTGCAGAATCCAAGAGAGTGTAGGTGTTGTCATGAGGTTGCAGAAGCTGTACACAAGTTAATATTTGATGGATCGATTGAGAAATTTAAATGTGTCACGCAACACGAAGATTTTACAGCCATGACAAATCGAACAGTACTTGAAAATGTTGGGCCTATGTTAAAGGACAGAAATGGCAGAAGTTACCGTCGCCATGCTGGACAGTCTGAGAACGAGTAAGTAAAATAGAAAGTTTATTGTAAATACGTACAGTATGTGTATAAATATACATATTGCTATATAAGTAAGTCTTTATGTAGTTAAGTTCTTAGCGTCTGTTTTGGCTGTTGGAACATTGTAGTGTAATGTGGTGTTGTGTATTGGGCTATAACATTTAATACCAGCGCCCCCCCCCTGTCGAGGACCTCTTTTCCAAAGGGGTAAATTTTTCCTTTTTCAAGTAGGGTTATGGCATAATTTAGGCAATTCCAGAGAGGTGAATGGGTAAAAATGCATTTCCACAGGGAGTCAAGGTTTTTTCCAGAGGGGTTTACTATCTAGATTTTTGCCATTCCAGGGGGAATAGTCTCAGAAACCAGAGGTCCTCAACAGGGGGGTATGGTTTTTAAATGTAATAGCCCATTATGATTAAATATAGCATCCCACATGTATACGTACTTTCAAGACTCTATTTCATTTAATATGATGCTGTTTTTCTACCTGTAGTTTATTACGAGCTATCGCATACAGATGGTTAATCCGTTGGATTTGTGGCAGTATGGGTTGGGATAACACAAGACCATTGCCAGCTTGTGTTTATAAAAACATCAGAAATCGTTTTCCCATCAACCATCATCAAGGAAGAGGTTACCAGTCAGCAGAAGCAAGGAGTTGAAATGATGGACCAATTGATAGATTGTTAAGTATATATGATTACTGTTTAATTTTTTTTTTATTCACTGTATTATACATGACAAAAGAATAAGCTTTTAAATAACAATACAAATTTTCTTATGTACATCTCTTGGGATTTTGTTTCACAACATCATTATTTCATAACATGCCCTAAGTTTAGTTGATAAACTTAGGTAGATGCTGGACAAGTGCCTCTTGGGTGTCCTTTTTTACGTTTGCCACATGTCTTGCAAGTGGGAGATTTCCTCTTCTTAGTTTTGCTTTTGGCTTTTGCAGCTGCAATTTCTTTTTGTAAAGCCTGTTGTTCTGCTACTGTGAATAAACATATATATATATATATATATATATTATATATATATATATTATATATATATATTATTATATTATATATATATATATATATGTATGAATTTGTTCACTGTACAAGCATACCTAGGTGCTATCATTTGTGTATTGGTGACACTTACCAGCAGGAAATAATTCAGCAGCTGTTCTACTCTTTTTTTGTTCATGAGCCTTTATTGCTTCTGGTTTGCTTTTTCTTTTTGTGAACTGTGAAGTCAATGGGGATGGAGTTTTGGCAGCATATCTTTCTTTTACTGATTCAAGTTCTTTAATCTGTGCCTTAGACATAGAAAAAAGAAGTCTCCTGATTTCTTCAACATAGTCTAAAAGACAAATGCTATAATTAACTTACTGTCTCCTGAATCAATATACACAGTTCTAGGAAATAATTACTTTAGTATGGCTATAGCTACAAAATTTAACATTTGTAATGCCTTGCTAGGGAAATAGGCAATAATCATCAATTTTATGGCACACTACAAAATTAACAAATATAAATACTGTACATTATCACCTTGTAGTGTGTACAGTTCATTTAGTGCTTACTTACTATAGGTAGGTGGAACAGTAACTTTTCGAACAATTTCTTCTCCCATCTTGTACTTGGGAAAAATCACCCTTACAGATTCTTTTCCATCCTTGCAAACATGTGATTTTCTCTGGACATTTTCATTAAAGTGGAGTGCCGCAACTATATGCCTAAAATGAAACAAAATGTATCTAGATACTATTACCCATATTTTTGTAATCTTGAATTTTCCCTTAAGTCAAATCATATGGCATTTAACAGAAAGAGTAAAATACAGTAAACTGGTATGCCCAATATCAGAGCAGATCATTCACTTGTTGAGTCATACCCTCCCTTTGTTTAATGTTCTAATGTGTATGATTAGTGATTTTCAAGTAATTTTCACACCTGCAATATGTTCCCAGCCAACTAAAACAGATCATTTTTGGGTGCCAGTGATTCAATGTTGCATGGAACCCTTCCAGACTACTTGTTTGAGCATCAGGTGATAGCTTTTTGATGTCATTCAGGAGTTTAGTTTTTGTTAAGGCAGTATTAAGTTTTTGATATGCCTTTGTTCCTAGAAAATACAAAATTGATCATTTATAACCACAACAAATTTAACCCTTTAACCTACAATGCGACCGCCTTTTTTTTACAAATGCCAGACGATTTTATTTGCTAATGGGAAAGCTCTGGGGCTTAATGGGTTAACTATATTTTCCTAGCTTGTTTCGAAATATAGTGTACCGTTATAAATCCACTTGCGACGGTCAATTTCACCATGTAAGCATTTTTTAAACAATGGGTCAGGGTGGCCCTCATGTCTGTTTGCTACATGATTCATGAATGAATTCCACTTGGCTAGTATTAGCTCTTCAAACCCTTGCTTTGTTGAAGTCACACACCAATACAGATGGTTGCGGATTGCTTTCATCCACTTTGCAATCTTCTCGCATCCTTTTTCTTTGCTTAGCTTGAGCAGGACCTTTTGAATAGATCGGGCAACATGCCAAATATCATAGAAATGTGAGGTGTTTGGCTTGTGTTCACGGACCCATTTTGCAATGCCTCGATGGCGGTCAGTAATGAAGACTCGGATGTTGATTCCAACTCTTGTCAGATAGTCGAAAGCTCTCTTCGCACCCTCCAGCTCCATGGGTGAGCTGCCTCCTGTTTCATTTGCCTGTAAGAAGAAGGAGCACTCTACAGTATATATTGGTTAACTTACTAGGGTCCAAGGGTGTCTCCTTCATTAGTAAAATCATCTGACTACTGACTAGGTGCAACATACAGTACACATTACTTCAGCCTCATTAAATATTTGGATACAAAAATGTAGTGAGTTGAATGTACCTGAAGAATTTCAAAGTGCACAACCTTAAGTGTAGTGGTACAAAACATAGTGTATGCACCATACTTGGCACTGTGGCCCATCGAATCAAATCTTCCATCCCCACACCAAACTGTATCTTTGATGGTCTTGACTTCTTCCACAAGTGCAGCTTGGTGTTTTTCCCAATATTTGAGGATCACAGGGAGAATAAATTTCTTTTGGTGGAAATAATACGTACGAACACTGTATGCATATAGTCCCATGTGCCGAAATACTAGCAGAACCTTGCTCACAGAAGCCCCAGATAGCAAAGTAGCAAAGCTCATTAGAATGTTCCCTGCTGGATACAGCCCAAGAACCAGTGGTTGAGACTCCCATTTAAAGGCCTTGCTCCCACACTTAAGACAATGCTGCCAAATTGTCACCTTGGTTCCATTACGGTGGACACTTATGGTGGGTTTGTTTTCCTTGCATTTAAAGCAGAACATTGTAAACAATGATACTAGCATGCTCAAGAAAACAATAAATTTAGGTTCTTCGTAGACTGGTTGTTCTGCTTCAAATCTATATTAATTAAAGTAAAATATAGCTAGTACTTGGGTGCGGTATGTAGTGTATCATGACTCCATCATGATCCATATCATACTCTTTACACATATGCATGGCTGCCAAGAGAAATTGTGGGTCCCATGCTAAATGGTATCATAATAGAATGCGTGTAGACTTAGGTTGAAAGTGAGCTGGCCCCACATTATAAATCTGCCTGTGTCAAATCAAGGGCCTTTAAGGCTTAGGGGCCTGTGATAAGTCGTTTCCCGTCTCGGTTGCCGTGCACATGTGTATGGACTATGTGACATTAAACTGTATGGATTGTGAACAGCACCTGACTTCATTCTGTGCATGCTCCCTTTCTTGCTCTTCATTTGCTTCTTCGTCATCACTAGAGTCCTGCGCATCACATTCTTCAAGTGCAGTCCAATCAGGGTCTCTTTTCAAATTCATCTCATCGTCAGTAGATCCCATTCCATCATCATCACTATCATCATGATCGTCATCATCATCTTCATCTTCATCTTCATTTTGGCTGCCATTGTCGTTTTCATCATCAGAGCTATCGTCCATCAAGGCTATTGTAGTGTCTTTGTCATCAAGGGACCCTGTTTCCATCACTGCTTTTCTCTATAGAAAACCATGCACATATTTTAATGCACACAGTTCAGTTCATGTATGTCATACTAAATATTTATTTTTTTTGCAGCAATACCAGTGACACCAATCAGCTACAAATGAGTTCAGTAAATATATTAGCAAAGTTATTACTTGTAACCATTGTGTGTCGCTTGCTCTCATTGTTGGTGTGTGTGTGTGTGTGTGTGCGTGTGTGTGTGTGTGTGTAATAGCAAAGTAGACTGAATGCAGTACAAAGGTATCTGTGACACTCTACAGATACTGCATTAACTGAAGCTACATGTACTAAATTACTACTTCGAGAAACTTGTAAATTACCCATACCTGCACCTTCCGTAATTGCTTCACTTTATTCTTTAAATGTTGCATCTGAACCTTCAATCTGTTGTTCTTTCTCTTCATCGAGGTGCATTTCTTTCTAAGCATTACACATTTATGACACACTGGCTTTTTTGTGGACCCAGGTGCATGTAGAACTGTAGTAGCAGCTCCTACAGGGGTGACAGGACTTGACCATGTGTATTGATCAGATGAGCTTAGATTGCTTGTACTGGTTGGTGCACTTGTGATTGGTTCAGGTTGTACAGGAGTGACAGAAGGACTTGGCCATTCAGTTGATGGCTTGTTTGGTAATGAGCTGGGACTACTGTTAGCATCATGAGGCAACGTCTCAACTTGAGAGGCATTCAATTCTTTTAAAATCTATATATACAGCATGATGAAAAAATTTGATTACATTTCATCATCATTATCGACTATAAAAGTGTACATACAGTACCGTTACAGTATGCACAAATGGGAATTTAATACATTCCGAAAAAATATGTCATGGGCAGATCATTCTGTATACAGGGCCACAATTGGCCGATTTTCCCACAACATCAAAGAATAAAACTTGCACAGGACTGTATGTTGTCTTGTGGATGCAAAACTTTGCTATTTTAACTTTTTTCGACCGAAATTCTGTTCATCTTAATTTCATGAAAATTTAATATGATTCATAGAGTATAAATCTTCTTGATTTATATAAATCTAGTATAAATCTTGTTGATTTATATGTCATAAATGCTTACTTGTCTTCGCTGGCGTGCACTCGGCGGTGCATACAATTGTGCGGATTTTCCTGCGACATCCTTTGTTGGAACCGATCCTTTTATCAAAAACTGTTTAAACCTTGGAGGTTTGTCGATGTTTGGTAGGTCAGCGAAGCTAATACTTGGACGGTTCTCGTAGCATTCGTCTTCAAAGTGCGCTGAACACAAACACGACTTCTTCGATGGCTCGAAGTCTTTTCGATGTTTACGAACAAAATTCGTCCATTTTTTCCTGAGATCTTCGTTTTTGGGAAAGTAATGCATAGAAACCCCATCGGTATAACTGTTATTCTTACAACTAACCTTGCTAGGGCCACCAGCCACACAATAATTACCGCCAGTCTTTCTCTTTCGAGTGTTTATATTTTCCATTTTGCCGCCATATTTACATATGCCGCGAGCGATGTCAAGGTTTTTACGTCAGAAATCAGGGGGGTGCGAATTTGGCCGCGCGTAAAAGATGTACCACTTTTGAAACCGAAATAGCCTATATTTATGTGCTTAAAAAACGTTCCTACACCTTAGTAAAGCCTGGAAACGAAAATATTTGGCCATTTCGGTGTATTATCTAGGTAGTAGTGAGTTTTTTTGAGAACATTTCATATACACTTTAAGACTGCCTTCATGTAGAACGTTTTTTATAAACATTTGGCTGTCGGTTTCGACTTTCGATAGAAATTCCAAGTGTTTTTCGCGGCCAATATCGTAGCGGATATCTTTAGTTAACGACCGAGCGAGCTCCCAAAAGTCTGTATTTGACGTGGACAGCTCGATGTCGTAGGTTAGCGCACCATAGTGGCATGCAACATAGTCGTTTGGGAGCGTAGGCTGATGATTTTTGCCAACGGACGTGAGACATGTGATATCATTTGTTGCATTAGCGGAGAATTGAGTGGTTTTGAGAAGAGCGCTAAACGAATAATGACAAGCGGCAAGGATGGCCCCGGTTATACTGCAGTTGTTGCTTCGACATTGTTGAAGGAAGGAGACTACCCTCTCGGCTGGTATGGTACGGATAAGGACTTTCGTTCTTGGTTCTGATTTCTGTGGATCATTTTCAATCGTAGGAAACTGGTTGAGCACTGGGTTAATGTAGTCTTGCGAAGATATAATGCGGTTTGGTGTAGAGAGATTCTTAAGTTTGTGTGATAGAAGCGCCGCAGAGCTCGGGTACAGTGGTAAACTCGGGATATCTTCTACTTTCGGTGCGGTCCCTTTAGCGATATTTTCAAGATAGCCAAGAGTTTGCCTTAAAACCGCGACCAGACTGTGCGCATTAGCAATAGCGTGCGATATCGCTAATGCCACGCCTCCCGTGTACGTTTCGGAACTTGGATGAAAATTTCCGGGAATCAACACAGCATTCCAGAGTGGTCCATTATCGCGTTCGAACTTCGTATTCGCGAATATTTCCTCCGTGATTGCTTCCGTGTCGTTGATGTCTTTATCCAGGGCCGAAAAGCCAAAACTAACGCGTCCTTCCTTGCTTTCGAAATATTTAACGTCTGCGGTTTCTGTTATTGTTGCTCGTAGCAAAGGCTGCTGGTAGGATACCATGGTTAGGGCTTCACGCAAAGATTTTTCTTCAATTGGAACTTTCGATCTTATCCCAGTTACAAGATACGAAAAACCAATCCCGGTTTTATGGCATTCGTGAAAAAGGGACTCGAGGCCATCAAGAGGACGCCTGCTTATAACACGTTGCTTGTAGACGTTTTTGGATAGTTCCGTTATTTTGCTTTCAAGCTGTGTCGCATAACTATGGGCACGTAGAATTTGATTATGTCTCGAAGCTAAAAGCACTTTGCGTTGAAAACAGCTTAGCAACATTTTTTATTTGAATGTAGTGATTTAGGTGTAGTTCGGTGCAGAACTGGTAACCCAAACAGGGACCTTGCGCTATTTTATACAACGTGAGGAATCTGAAATATAATCAGTGATATGATACGCAAGGCTTATTTATTGGCAGAAATTCAGGAATTCAGGATATTATTTATCACAATGCCAGGATTTCGCAATCAAAGATGGCTGCCTTGCATGTTAAAATATAATTATATAAGGCTGGAGACAAAATTTGAAGCAAGACGCCTGTTCTGGCGTTAACTCCGGCGCACGTGCCAGTCTTTAATAGGGAGGTTAAGATCTACTTCCACTACCAGTACCAATACGAAGAGACATGACGCATTATTGTTTGGCAGCGCGGAAATTTTCTGCAGCGCAGAAAATGACAATAAAGGTCGACTGACCGGACGCGAATTGGCAACGCGGCGCGAATTTTTAACGTTTTTAATTTTTCAAAATGAAATAAATTTTAAACTATCATAATATTCTTGTAGATTACATAACAATAAAACATTTTGACTACTCTAGCGTCCATAGTTTCCAAATTTTACTTCCAGAATTTAATTTATATGCTTCTGAAAACTCAAAATTCGCGTCGCGTTGCCGCATCGCGTCCGGTCTGTGTCGGCCTTAATACAGTAAATATAATTTGGTACTTCGCCTACGTATCCACTTCCATTTTCAGCCCCAAAGGCCAAAACGGTACTCGCGACCTCCGGTGTTATCACATTTTGGACGATTGTTACGTCTGCGCATGCGCGTGACTGAATATTGTTATCGGTACGCAGAAATTTTTTTTGGGATCACTTTCGTTGGGAGCTTTGTAACCGCGCCTGTTGTTATGCAATAACAATATTAAGATGAACTTAACCCGAACAACCGTCATTGCGCATTCATTCACCCCCCCCTAGCTACGGCCCTGTACACAACATTTCAAAGAGCGAACACAGAGGAACTTTGTTAGGTAAGATGTTTGAGAATCAAAAATGTCGTTTATATAATATATTTTTCCTATTATTTTCTATATTTATTCACATGGCATATGTGCCATAGTGGACGTTTTGATCATGTTGACATCTAAATTTATAATTAATTATCCAAGTGTCATAATTAAGAATAAAAAATGCATGAACTACAAAATCGAAGTAATAATAAGCACTAGATAAATAAATTTTGTAGCAAATGAATCGAAATGTTGACCAATATTGTAATTTTTGTACCAATGTTGAGCATTTAATGTACACAAGTATTATTATACACCCACTCCATCACTTTGACAAGTTTACAACATTTACACAAGCATACTTTAGAAAAATCTGGGCTGTAGAAAGTGTTTAACTTTTTACTTAACCCATATACTTTAACATATGGAACATATAACAATGCAATGAATCTGTTGGTCATTGAACAATTATTGCAGAATGCCTAACTGATGAATCATGTCAAAATAGGGCCAGCTGTATAAAAGACTAGTTAATTTTTACCTGTAGTTAAGGACAAAATTCATGATTTAAATAATTTTGCAGTTTATGATCACATATATTGAGTGCAGACAAGGATTTCTCCCATTAATTCTTTATTTTTTGTGTTATATCCTCTTTTGAACAATTTGACTGTTCTACTTATTCCCCTTCCCCTTTATAAGTCCTAAATTAAAATGCCTCAGTGAGATTTTAATTTTCTATTATTAACTCTTTAACATTAATTTGGATGCCAAAAAAGTGGGAGGGGGGGGGGGGCTAAAGCCTTAGTCCATGATACTACAACAATTATAGTAATCTTTATTGAGGAAACGTTGTTATCAACTCTCCTGACAAAGGTTCTTAGGTCCACCAGAGAGAAACATTTTCTAGTTCAGGCAGTTTGGGAATTTCATGAGATGCGGCAAAGGAATTGTTCAGAAGTAGTTAGTCTCTTCCAACAGCAGCAAAAACAAGCATATTGTTTAACATAGGCTATTCTGTTCAGTTAGTGTAGTTCATATTAATTAATATTCTTGACATTAGTTAATACTCTTTAGTTAATAACTTGATTGTTACTGCTCATTATCGTTTTGGTCCAGCATTTGCAAGGTTTTTCTTTACATTCAGACTTAAGTTATGTTGACGTTTCTTTTTGGCCAGTTTCCTTATTTTCAGCTTTTCCTTATCATCTGCTTGCCACTTTCTTTTCAACACCGTTTGCAGCCTAGGTTTAGGACCTGAAGGTTGTGCAGAAGATGACTTCACACCAGATTTTCTTCGAGAGATTGACGTTGGCTGAACACGTATCCGTGACCCGTTGTGCAAGACTGGAATAAGATTGCTGCTTTGTTGCTTTCCGAAATGTACAAAAGCATTTGCAAGTGATGCTACAGGCGAATGACCGCGGCATTTTGTTACTATTTTTCGATAAGTCCTTAGAAAATTGTAGTAACATTTCTTAAAGTTAATATCCTCGTTTCGTATTTTCAACTCGATGTCTGCTGCAACTTCCCGATGCAGTTTAAGAATTTTCTCGAGGGCTACAGGTTCGTCCTCTGTATGGCCTAGGACGGTGTCATGCCTATGTTGATCGTCCTCCTTATCTTTTTCCTTGTTTTCTAGGGGCACTGTTTCAATTCTATTTACATCATTCTCCAGGTTCATAACGCTTTCAGATTTTTCATGCAGCTGAACAAACTGTCTTACGTCGAGTTGGGGATTATCTCCTATTGCTAAAACAGCAAGATCGTATCGATCCTGAGCGGATCGTGGGATAAAGTTGCTGTTACCACCTCCGTATTTTAAAGCAACCGCAGCTTGATGTGCACATCCTGAGCCATTTTCTCCACGTGGGCAGGTACAAATCCCTAAACTGGTATTAACTTGGTAGGTAAGGTCCTTGTTCTTTCTGCTTTTAACATTAAAATGAAAAGGTTTTTCAGTGTCTCTGATGATACTGTCAAGCGGCACTGTACTCGCATTTCTTCCAAAGCATCGCGCAGTAACATGAAGATTTTGTGGCTTACCAAACGCAAGAGCTAACAGTTTCCTTTGAAAATACATCTCCAAATCCTCAGTTATAAATTTCACTAACTCTAATAAGTTATACGCTCTGATACGCTTTAAGATGACACATTTAAAAACGAAAATCATAGATTCTGTAAAGTTGTCAGTGTTATTTCCTCTTGTCAGGAGTCCTTGCGAAAACAAAGTGCCCATTGCTCTTTTCTTTCTATAGCATTTTTAATGTAGTTATTGAAATTTGGATACTTTAACACCGTTTTGTCTGACTGCATCTTGGTTTCATTGGCATTAAAATTTTCTACCGTGTCCGCGAATACCAGTCCTTGGCAAATGGACATTAAGTGCTGCCGATCATCTTTATTAATGGAATTAGTACTGTCTAAAAGCCATCTCCAAACAGCTTGAAGAAAGTGAAATATACAGAGGAGAAGAACAGATGAATGCCAATATGCACGCAAAGCATTTCTCTGGGCACTGTCATCATCGGTGAGGAAAATTGAAGGACCAGACGCTACGCCCTTTCCACCAAATGCGTGTCGCGGTAGCACTGATACAACGCTGTGTAAACAACTATTCAAAGTGGATTCTGATTGGCTGGAAGTTATCCACACTGCTAAGGGAAGGGCACCTGACGGATGATGAGTACACATAAAATAAACTGGATTATTGTGTCGATCAAGGCTCCCGGATGCATCCATAAAAGCCATTTCACCAGCCTGGCGTAACTTGTGTACACGTGACATCATTGGAGTACATATGGAAATTATCAACGGTTGCTCACGCTTTTCGTCATTGTTATATCTTTGTAGAAAGATTTTGCCACCATCACTCACTTTATCCTTATTGTATGTCGTAATATACTCTTGCAGATAGTCGAACAATTCGGTTCCATTACATGGTCCTTTTGTTGTTTTCCTCCACTTCTCGTAGAGATTATTAACGTCTCTCAACGACGGGCAGTATTTTCTATCTGCCAAGAGAAGAACAGTAACAGGATCTCTCATCAACGTTGTTTCGTGGTGATGGAACGACTCAGACGCAGACATGCCCTGCTCAAAATAAGTAAGAAATTTGTGCCTTGTCGCAGGTAAGATTTGGCTAAAAGTGGTAAGGTGGTGACAGTTGACGCTATGGTTATGATTCCACCATAATTCCACATCACAGACAATTTCTTCAACTGCTTTCGTACGCACTTTTATTACCATTTTGCTTTCACAATCTGTTTTTTTCGCGTATGTTAGATAGTAAATGGATCTTGTCAGTGGTTTCAGCATTAGCAGCATGAGTGCAATGACGCTCCTGTCTACGTTTCATAGCTTCGGCTTTCGCTTCTTTTTGGTTCCTGCTCAATGTCTTTCTTTTGCACTCGCAAATATACCACTGGGCAAACGAAACTCTGACACCTTTCCTCTTATAACCCCCTTGAGAATTGTATTTGATGTTTGACGATGCTGCAAATTGAGAAACCCATTTTTCGATTTCCTTTGGTGTTGACACATCTTTAATGTTAAATTTTACCCTATATTTCTTAGATTCCATAGTATCGTCGTTCGAAAGTTCTTCATATTCTAAGCATTTATAAACAGCTGTTGGTGGGAGTATGCTTTGTACATGCTGGGGTAATACATAAGCATTCGTTCTTTCAGGTATATCATCTGGTATATTATCCGGCGTAGCAAGCGAGTAGCAATGATCTTGAAGGATTGTATGACTGTTTTCAGTTGGTGATGATTTGAAAGGATCTGCATCACTGTTCGCTGTTTGTTCGCAACTATTGCTACCTTTGCTGCTGGCAAGTGGAATCGACAAACACGAAAGTTTGTTTCCTGCTATGTCCAATATTAACGAGTAACGGAAATCATTTATGTGTCGTTGCTTAAAATCGATCATCCTACCTTCAGCTATATGCTGTGCCCATTTTACCACAAACACGCCACAATCGACTGAGTTCAACTGTTGTTCAACGTCGTTCGCTGGGATTGCAAAAAAATCCCACTCGTCAACACTATACTTTTGTCCTTGTAATTTCATGGCACATTCAATGAAATTGCCTACGCGTTGGAATGCCCTTTTTGCCCCAATTCCTTGAATCCAAATAAACCGAATTCTTTTATTATTGCTGGGGTATACGGCAACTAAACACCAGTGATCTGCGTGTAATGAAGGACAGAGTATTACTTCACTATCTAAAATATGAGGTATAGTTGATCATACTTGCATTTTAAAAATATGTCAAGTGAAGGTTCTGTCATACGTTGGAGAACTTCCATGTTGCAGGTGTGGACTTGTTTTCCCTGCTTAACTGCTTCTTCTTCGATCATCAGAAAAATCTTGTTTACCAAAAAGTTAGATAACAGGGAATCAGAAATCTTGTGTGATGCAGGAAGTAGGCGAATGATGTCTGTCGGATCCCATTCTTTTACTCTGTCACTAACGCTAATGTGTACGCCTGCAATTGCTGTCTCTTGTGCGCGTTTTCTCTCCTCTCCAGTTAGGGATAAATACATGTTCGAATGCACGACATTCCCCTCTATCCTGGTTTTGAATAAACCTGGTTTGGCGCTTTGAAAACCTATCGGTACGTAGTAATCGGGTGGTACCGTTACTTTTATTGTGATATCTTGTTGCTCTTTGTCAGGTGCTGAACTGGTCGGCAATTTTGTGATTTTAGTAATTATTATGTCGTTGGTCGAATTCTCGTCACATCCATGCATCTTTATTGGAGGTGATGAAGGATTAGGAGTTGTCGATATCTTATTTTCGGGAGCTGGGCCCATGGAGTTCGTTTCTTGAGACTGCGTTTTTTTCAGCTGTTGACTCTTGTTCAGGTGTTAACGATGACATAGAACTGTTAGAATTAGAAGTGATTGTGGGTGATAAAGGGTGAGGTGAATCTTCTTTTGTGAACTCTTTAGTTTTTGCAGCGTCTGTCACGGGACCAACAGATGTTGACATAGAGAGATTTGTATCTCTACAAGGTACCTTTGAAAGAGTGGCCTTGCGTTTCTTGGATAATGACAAACAGTGCATTTTAGCACGAGAGTTGTTGGAAGAACCCCTTGCAACTGCTTTCGCATAAGTGTTAATATTCAAAACAGGTTCTTTATTCGTTGTAGGCACTGGTGCTTCTTTTGTAAACACCTTTGCCCTAGTGTGGGCTTGTCGCTCCTTTTTCTCGTAAAAGAGCATGTATGCATTCTTCTGGTGATATGCTGCTAACTGTGATGTTTCTTTAACAACGGTATCACTTGTATAAAACCATCTCCCGCTCCTGTTAACGAAGCAAACATAATGCCCGGACGATATTTGGTTTCCTTCATGTGCTATTATTGAAGAAAGGGTGTATTCTGCTCTCGATGTTTCACTTCTGCCATCATTTAAATCGCGTTGATACTCGGGTATGGTTAGTTCAGGTGGGTAATCTATTTCCAAGCTTATTTTTTGACCGTTTGCGTCAAAGCGCAATAACTGAATGCATAATACCTGTGGCAGATTCTGCACTAAGGTTCTTTTCCAGGCATCAGTTCCTTTACCACACCTTAAAAATAGCCAAAAAGTGCATGGGGTACAAATTTATGTGCTAGTATTTTAACACTGTACACTCAAAAAATTACATAAAATAATGTTTTAACACTAAAAAATGAGGTGAGAGTGACAGTAACATTTGAGATGTCTCAATGGAGTGCATAATAACTGTAATTGTACCTGCTTAATACTGGTGGCATCACAATAATCACTAACTGTACCTTTCACAGTTGTAGAGCTGTTCCAATTGAATTGCTGCAGAATATTGATCCAACAAATCTTGTAAAGGTAATCCCTGGTATATTATGGTTAAAAGAACAAATGAGTTTCCAGTTTTTGAATTTTGTTCAAACAAGATTTGTTTGGTTTGCAACTGCCAGTAAACATGTGCATAAAATCATATTTTCCATTTTCCCTGTATTTTAATACCTAACCAAAAATATGACAAGGTGGTAAGCATTTAGAGTATAAGCAAGGAAAATTTAAATAAATTGTTCTCTTTTTAATAAAAAAAAGTAGACTGTGTAGAATTTATCAAGGTATACCCATTAGAATGATTTTTAATTTAACATTAAGGGAAAATGTACTAAACTATTTTTGTTACTTCTTAACACCACCATCTTGTGACAATGACTTTCTATCTCTTTGGGTATTACCTTTGTTATAGATAATGGAAGCACTGTCTCAGTGGCAATGTTACTTGTAGTATTGCCACACTCGCTGCATAGAATCTCACTATTAAGTGAGAAGCAAAATGAATTCAGAAATTCAAGGCTACAATATTGTGGAATAAGTTCTGTTGATTGCAGATGATGAGCTTTTTCCTCCAAAATTGTCCAAAATGATTGGAAAAATTCAGCTGAACATTGCTGGGAACCTTTGACATAACCGCTCATAATTTGTGGCAAACAAGAAAGCAGTGCTGCTGGTCGAACCACCTGTGATGCTCCATTATACAATTTGAACACACTCAGTGTACTGCATAATATGCATTTTGTTCCTGAATATAAAATGAATACCAGATATCATTAAAAAATATTACTATTACTATGTATTTTTATCACCACAAACCTAATGTAGATATTTGTACCAGTACTTTAGTTCATCATCACTTTCATTGTAATTATTGGTTCAATCTTCTCTGGTTGTGTTAAATATAGTGGAGCTTTTGCCACTTTCATCACCAGAAAAGAATTCGTAATTCTTTCAATTTTTTTATATCAAACTGTTGGAAAGTGGGGATTTTACCACAAATCATCAGTCTCATTTAACCCCCTCCCAAATTATTGCTGTAGTGCTTGCTATGCACCTGCCCTAAGTGTGGGGTGTCACACCCACCCCTCCACCCATATGTCTGTCCTATGCATACCACTTTGAAAATCTACTACATGGAGTTATAGAATTGTCATATATAAATATTTCAATGCAATACGGTAAATAATGGAAGGCACCAAAATTTATACTTTCCACAATATGAAGTCCAAACGACCCTCCCACAGGGAAATATATTATGTCGCTTTATGCGAAATTACATGGAAAATTACACACATGGGAAATTACACACATATTCAACAAGGGGAAACCAATTTCACATATTCAACAAGGGAAACCAATTTCCATAAGGCATAACCACGATTGAATAAAACGTTTACCTTCTTTGTTCGCCGTGCATCTTTTCCTGTTGTGCAGAAGTTGACCAAGGCCTTCATTGCAACTCTTTGTTGAGAGAATAGACTGCAATACGCAGTTTACGAAGCATGTATTTCCTGAGTTTACGAAGCCTTTTAATGCGTAACCTGACATCATGATGAAGTTTGATTAAATTTGATTGGTAAATAGCTGAATTTGAATGAATACGTACAATTTCTCCGGTTGAAGATATAGTTTATATTATAAGTATACCACGCTCTATTATTATTTGGTGCGGGAAAATTTCAATATTTCCCGCTAAATGCTAATTAACCGTATTAATGACTTTTCAGGAACATTAATATGCAGTACTTAAATAACCCAAATTGACCCTTTATATCCAAACATGTATTTTGGATAAGGCGCGGTTACAAAGCTCCCAACGAAAGTGATCCCAAAAAAAATTTCTGCTATCGGTACTCGTAGCGGAAGTCGATCTTAACCTCCCTAATATAAAGCTTCTGAACTGAAACAATACAATTCATATTCATTTAGATGCCTTGCGAACCTAAATGTTCGATCGCGAAATTCAGAAGCACATCGTACTTTAAAAAGTATAGAAGTTCAATTGTTCAAAAATGTAAATAAACTGCATGATACATTCGCTTTGTCTTACACTTTGCCTTTGGAATTCGCGCTTATATAGTTTTATTAAATCTTCAATCCTGTGCAAACTACGACGTGTCAACGCGCCTATACACGACCACATCTTGTTAAACAGCGAAATAGCAGCGATATTATTAAAATCTACATGTATTAAATATATTCTTACCCCAATTCAATCTAAACTTAATCCAACAGCATGAAAAGAACGGTTTATTTGTTCCTCTTGGAGGAATTGCCGTATCATGCGAGCGAAATCGAATCGCGCATCGGAAAATTAGCCAAACTGCTGTGCACAACAACTGTTGGGAGACAAGACTGGGACGTAGATAAATACGGTCACTTACACATCTCAGATACTAGTATATTTCGCGCCATTACAAACTTGCGACGATGAAAAAAAACAAAAAAAACAAAAAAGAAAAAAAACAACAAAACCGAGGCGATTTTTAAATCCGTCGCTGGCACCGGAGTAATTAAAGCAGCTTCTATCTTACATATTGCAATTACGGACTTCGATTTAAGACGGGCAGGAACTCATACTTTTATGAAATTTTTTTCATATTTTTATATTACCCTTAACAAGTTTCCCAGTAATGTAATTTCAGCAACTAACCATTACATTACAACTCACAAATCACGTTGAGTTTAAAAGATTTAATAAAAGGTTCACAGGTCACGTTGACATTAGATAGATTATTCCGTATCGTGTTACTCTTCAAGTTGATTTAGCTTCTTGGTTCACGGTTCTCGGTTCACGGTTCTCGGTTCACGGTTCTCGCAGCTCAGTTCTGTTCTGTTCAGTGTTCATACAGCTCTAACATACACTGGCTATATTTATAGTAAATTAGTGAGAAGTCATTGCGGTTACATGACGAATATCCGCGCGCAAATTATGTTAATTCATCATGAAATTCATGTTCTGCTATCGCTGCGCCCTAATGTTGTGGTTGTTAAGTGACGTAAGTTTATGCTCACGCCGCGGTTTGAAAGCTCTAGATTATTACGCTGCATTTATGTTTATACCATGCACGTTTTCGGTGGTTTTAACTAACTCTATACTAAAATATTTTCTGTTATATATTTTTATATATATGCTATATATTCGTTTGGTTATATATTCCTAGTGTAATTCTATCCTAATAATTGCAAGTCTCCGACAGTATATATAATGGTTAGTTGCTGAAATTACATTACCGTGGAACCTTTAAATTTTGTCTCGTGCCTTGTATAATTCTATATAAACTTCACCGCTCGCATAACGATTATTTTCGTGAAGCAAGGAAACATCTGTGGACAACTTTTAATGATTATGACGTCAATGCAATGGGTCTATACACACGGTACCGAATGAGTTTCCTTTGTGTTACGTCCCATGATAATAATTAAAATTTGTTGTTGACAGTTGACTGTTGTAAAAACAGTTTGACGTTCATAAACGGTAATTATATTAAGATTTGTATACCAAACTACAATTATACAAATACAATGACTCATCAAAGTAAAAAAAAACACTTGAAGCGCTGAGATATTTCGATATACACAATAAAAAACGCAATACAAAAAGTTCGGTCCGTTGGTATACATATATTTTTGTCACGTGAAATTCGGCTTATGAAAACCGAATCACTTGCCGGATTTGCAACCTATATTAGTTTGAAAAAATAGTCGACAGGCACAATTTAGCTCAATACCTGTCGATGCGCATAGATACTACAGTAAGTTACACGGCCTGTACAAAATGTACTAGACTTGCCGCACTTATGGATGGAGAAAGCCTTTTAAGCTGGAGACGGACTGATCAATTCCCCCTATACCTGCCAATACAGTGCATACCATGATTGCGGGTTTTGATATATATTGCGGGTTTTGCATGAATATGTCAAAAGTTTAGGGTATTTTAAAAAACTTGGTAATACATTTTGTTATTAAGAAACTGAAAATATCTATTAAATTTATTAGGGCTGCTTTCATCAACGATTGAATAGATGCATAGGGTTGGGTTCTGTTGACGATTTGAGGTGTTTCTCTGGCATAAAATTAATTATGCAACAACTTAGCAGGTTTTCAAATTTTATGTGCGTATATACTTACCGCAACCATTGTATAGGCACTTTAAATTTCGACAAAAGAGTGCAAAATGTACAACTATAAAGAAAAGCGAATGTAAATGTCGATATACGCACAGAGAAAACAACTATTCTGGCATTCGAACGCCGTACCCTTATATCTAAGTTTACTTCTATACAGCGATTTTAAAAGAGGTAACTGATTTAACGGCAGTGCAGCTATTTTAAAATAACGAGAGATAAAATAACTAGAGATTTTATCTTACTCAATAGTCTAATTATTCAGTTCACATTAAGATATTCAACTACAGCAAACAAGCTTTCAGTTTAAAGTTGGCTGTCAGGGGCCGGTAATATCAAGCCCGTTTAGCTAAAACGGTGGTTAAGTTCAAAATAAAAAGCAAGTCAATCGTTTCACTCAACAAGCGTTAGGCGTGGCAAAGAACTGTATAGTAATTTATTCTCCCTTATCTTGGATCCGCATGCATGCATGCATGGATGTCTTGCCACCGAATATATTTAAGACTGAAGCTTTAATGTGTTCCAGACACCGTGTGAGTAACTTTGAGCGATTTCAGGGGAAATAATGCTGTCATCGTAGCAGAACATGTAATGTAGTTTGCCGTTTAGACCAATAATGTAGTTCCCAAAAGTTCCAAGCCTTTTTTGAATTGGTGTACCAACTATTAACTCTTGCGGATGAAATAAGTCTTCAGGGTTGGTTTCCGTGAAGACAGACCCAATATTCGATACGGTAAGAGACGACTTCTTTCGAGACGCTAGTTTAAGACTGCCTTCATGTAGAACGTTTTTTATAAACATTTCGACTTTCGATAGAAATTCTAAGTGTTTATCGCGAATATCGTATCGGATATCTTGAGTTAACGGCCGAGCGAGTTCCCAGAAGTCTTTATTTGACGTGGGCAGCTCGATGTCGTAGGTTAGTGCACCATAGTGGCATGCAACATAGTCGTTTGGGAGCGTAGGCTGATAAACCTTTCATGAGCTAACCAGACCTAACCTTCTAGGTATATATTTTGAAATGACTTGTGTAAAGCCTACACTGAACTGATGAGGGGTGTTTCAAAATTTTTCGGAAACAAAACAGTCGTAAAGGGGAAGTGAAATCACCCGTTGGCCGTTTACCTGCTGCACTGCGTTGCATGCAGTTATAGACTTTCACAGTTAAATGAGAGATATAATACTTCACTATAGCTATAAACCTTCAAAACGTCAAAACAGCGCAAATAATATAAGTAACCAAGCAGTAAACGTCGAATATCGTTTTTCGATTATTGAATTTATGCAGTGATTGCAGTCGATTCTATAAAAGCTTTAAAGTGATATTTGTTAGATTAAAACTCCGAATTACGCGTTTAAGAACTCTTTTTGAAGTTAAAACGATGATGTAAAGACTTTTATAGTCGGTTATTTCTTCGCAAAACCGAGCAAAACGACATACTGTACCAAAGTCATAAATTGTATTTGAACAGCAAAGACGAAATGAACCTCAAAATAAACAAAGTAGACACCTACAATTTCAAGGATTATAAACTACGAGTTGTTCCTTTTCACCGCTAACTTTTCCCAGTGTTTATATTGATTTTATTTAATTCCACATTTCATATTGTGTTTTGGAAACTTTTTTTTTAAAAAAATAGTTTCCAAAATGACAGTTTAATTGCTGACGTTTTTCACTGAAACACAAACGTTTCGTTTTAGCCAATCAGCAAGTTGTTAATCACCAGTCTTCGCTGGTTTAAATTTGGCGCGTGCGCACAAGTACCATGACCATTGAACGTCCATGGTCCATTACATAGAATTTGGGCAACTTTGGATTCCGCTATGTTCTGTCACAATACCCGAGTGTAAATAGTCTCCCAGCGGAATTAGTATACCCTCGCAGGGCGCTCCGCGCCCGCTCGAGGACAAATTTCCCAATTCTTAATTTTAACTGAGTAAGGCACAGCGTTCGGTTTAATAGGGAGATTTAGCATGAGGACGTGAACGTCAAAAACGACGTGAAAATGGCGAATAAATGGCGTGATACATTCAAATATGGACATGCCACGCCATTTACTCGATATTTTCACGTCGTATCATATTACAATTGAGGGCCTTTAAATATATTCAGATTTTTGGCACTTCAATCGATGCAGGAATGAAGTGTGAAAGTGCGAAAAATCATAATTGATTTACCCTCGCCTATTCCCGGCATTATACCATAGTATACACATTAACCACGCTTGCTCTTGTCAGCTACCTCTGTAGCTCAGCGGCAAGAGCATTGCACCGGAATCGGAAAAGCGTAAGTTCGATTCCTGCCTGAGGACCTATAGTTGACTCACTTATCCACCAACTGTTCCTGGTTGAAGTGTGTATAATACCACTCGAAATTAAGACCTTTAAACCTTTAGTTACAAAAAACTGAAAAAGTGACTAGAATGGATGATTGGTTATAAACATGCCTATAGTCTCCATACTTAATTGAAATCAGAACTAAAGGTTTTCAGGCTGAAGTACATACTTGATCTTAAACATAGCCTTACATAGGCGTAGGTGTACTGTCTAATTTTCGGGCAAACATTTTGGATTTTTAGACACAAGCCAATCAGATTATATTCGAGATTATATATTCTATACAGCTAATCTTAGTTCACGACATCATAAAGGGTAACGACAGAACTTAGATCATGCGCAAGGAGACAGTAGTCCGCGTCTTTTTTATTGATAGTATAAATACGCGCAAAGATCAATTTCTAATTTACAATTGACTGAGAAATGAGGCTGTTGCTGTACAAAAATAATTGAATTACTCGAGTACAGAAAATTCGAAGTTTCACGTACTGAAGTTTCAAAAAATGAAGGAAATGGTTGCTCAGTTTTGTTACGGCTCTAATTTCTGATTGGCTGATTTTTGTACTCAGATCAACTGGATAAACATCAGTCATCATGAAGACGCCACATGCCTATCACCGATACGGTTAAAAAGAAGCCCTCGCCAACTTTGCGAAATGAAAACAACCGTTGGTAAAACGTTGGATAAAGAAAGAATCAGGTGAAAAATTCAGGTGAATGGAAAAAGTTTGGGGTATAATAGCCTCAACCCCAACCCCCCCCCCATCCAACCGGAATTGAGAGGACTTCATATTAAAATTTTTGTAATGGTGTAGTGAATATCAGTGGAACTTATTCAATATTGACAAGGAAATAGGTAATCTACTTTGAATTTTAGTATATTTCTTGGGTTTGCAATTAAAAGATTATATAATTCTGATTTAGTATTTGGTATGATTTAGAACGTCGTGAATACTGTAATCTGTACGTATAAACGTTCGTAGATATAAACAAGACAGCTTCTCTTACGTTAACTCCGGCGTGCCGTGCGCGTGCCTTTCTTTTCCATATAAAGCTTTTGAACGTAAACAATACAGTTCATACTCATTTAGATGCCTTGCGGACGTAAATGTTGTTCGATATTCAGACAACACACCGTGCTTTAAAAGTATAGAAGCGTTGTGAACCTAAATGTTGTTCAACATTCAGGTCCTGTTTACATGGAGCGAGTTATCCCGGCTAGGCGACGTGAAAACTGCATATAGTGAAAGACTAATCAAATCAGGTTAAGCTTTTAATATGATGCGCTTTTTACCTCCATGTAAACAGGCCCTCGGAATTCAGAAGCACATCGTATCAAAAAGTATAGAAGTTCAAAGATGTAAATAAACCGCATGATATGTTTACATAGCTTTCACATGACTTTCACAGTTTCACTTTGTCTTACGCTTTGGAATTCGCGTTTATATGATAACCTTAGAGCTCATATTAGCGTGTAATATGTGTAATGTGTTCGCGAATGTAAATGCATGGTTCATGCTATCGTATTCGTCAATCGTGTGCGACGTGTCAACGCGCCATAGACGACCACATCTTTAAACGGCGAAATATAGCAGCAATATTATTAAAATAGAACCAGAATCCACATGTATTAAATATATTCTTACCCCAATTAAACCTAAACTTAATCGAACAGCATCAAAAGAACGGTTTATTCGTGCCTCGTGGAGGAATTGCCGTATCATGCGGGCGAAATCAAATTGGCAAAACATTTCGAGTAGTGCACCACAACTCTTGCGAAATAAAACTTTGACGTAGATAAATACGGTCACATACGCTCTTCAATAAGCGTCGCATGCATCCAGTCAAGTCATGGGTACAAATGAGCATTCCACTTCAAATACTAGTATATTTCCGCGCCAAAACACACTTGCGACGACGAAAAATAATAATAAAACTAGAATTTACTATCCCAAGTGAAGTGCTGCCTCAAAGGGAGAGCAGATTGGGGGTAATTTTACGGGCAAAATTATGTGAGCAAAATTTGAAAAATAATTTTATGACTTCACTAATAGAAATTGCTTAATTATATTACCTTTAAATTCAATAAATTTTAATACCCATACGTATAACTCATTCGGAAATATTTCGCAAGGCTTTCAACAATAGATGTAGTAAACCTACTTTAACTCCGCATTTATCACACCAATGGATATATCAAATAAGTTATTTTACAGTAAGAGTCAAGGCCCAAAAGGGCCTTATTCCTGATTAATCCAAGATTAATCTGTTCTAATCTGTGCAATAAATCTATAAGGTGGATTAGCATTCAAAGTTGATGAGACTGTTGCTGTTCCTAAGAATCAGTACTATATCATCATAATGAAAAACATTTATAAGAAAGATTATTTCATCATTATTATTTTGTAGTTATGAAAATAGATAAGCATGACAGATTGAAAAGATGATAAGATAGTAATTTAGTAGCACATAGTAATTTAGTAGCAACATAGTACTTTAAAATTACAATATCTGGTTATGCAGTTTTGATATATGATCACTGAGTAGTGTTTAATTCTTATTCTGCTAGATGTTATGGTTTTTAAATTATATTATACTTATTGTAATATATAACTAAAAATTTAAAGAAAATAATTATATTGAGAGAATTGTATGAATATAAGGGAAGTAGGGAATTTGTCTAATTTCCATATTATCCAGATATTAGTGATGTAAAAAAATAATAGTACCCGATTTAGTATATAAATTGGAATAAAATGGATTTTTTTTATTATACATGAATTACATTTCACTTATGATATAATAAGTACCGAAATTGATATATGTATACCCTTTAGTAAGCAGGAGTCAGATTGCCATTTTCAGGTATTTTATCAACTTGACTGGTATTTTAAAGTAATGATATACGTACATAAATTAAATTTAAGTTCTCTCCGTGGCAAGCGAGCACATATGACTCGATGGCCTGTAAACAGAATTTACAGTGTCGTTCTTTTTTTATCTACATGCACTAAATCATCCGGAAACAAACAAAATGTCAGTTTATGAACGACTACAACGACATTTGCGTGATCAAATAATCTAATAGCTTATTAGTCTTAGTTTTCGTATAAATTATTAAAATTGTAGTACTCGCCGCGGTTTTGGCTGCTCTTCGACGACTCATTTCTGTTGGGGTAGAAATTACAATTTACAAAAGCAATAAATCATCGATAAAAATATTCTACAGAAATACGTCAAAAAACGTCATAAAAATGTAAACGTCATCCGACAAAAGATTCAAGTTTACTATCGCTAAGACGCTAACCAACATTGCTATGGCGCGTGGAACCCGTCAAAATTCTAAGCTTCAAATATTTGTTCTATTTTGGCAACTACGGCGTTCTAAACTACACAAAATCCTTCTAAACAAAATTTACTCATTCGGTAAACGTCGATCTTTTATCCTTGCCTAAACTTTAAATATGCTTTATAAACTTATTTATATTTCCTGTACTCCTATATTTCTTCATCACAATTAATAAGTTCATTTATTGGTTCTAAACTTCAGATATCAGTGTCTAAACTCGTGTTATTTTACTAACACGATGGTAGCTAATCTGGATGATGAACAGAACTGAAAAAAATGAGAGAAACACTGTCGGTCTAAGAAATTTCTTCGATAGCCTAGCATGCCTGTTGTTCGCTTGTTGTTCGACACTCTTTGCCCTCGATCCAGATTTTGACCTTGATTTCGGTTAGCATTTGTAGCCGGACTGGCCGCATGTTGAAAGGTTGGAAACAGTCGAACAATCTCTGATGCCATGGTTGGAGACGGCTGAGTTTGTTGGGCATTATTTATAGCAGATCGCATTTCTCGAAGGCGCGAAATACTTACGATAGCATTTGTAATTAAACCGTCAACCCCTCTCTCACTTCTTCCATCCCCATTTTGGTTATTTTGGAGCAGTATTTGAGAAGTATTAATCTTTTCCGCCATATTGTTTGCCATATAAATTAAAATAACGCGCGAGCTGAATTGTGGGTGATTGGAATTTAAAATTCGAGCTTAGACCAGTGAACTGGTTTAGACACTGATATCTGAAGTTTAGAACCAATAAATGAGCTTATTAATTGTGATGAAGAAATATAGAAGTACAAAAAATATAAATAAGTTTAGAAAGCATATTTGAAGTTTAGGGAAGGATAAATGACGTTTAAAATGACGTGTAAATTTTGTTTAGAAGGATTTTGTATAGTTTAAAACGTCGTAGTTGCGAAAATAGAACAAATATTTGAAGTTTAGAATTTTGACGGGTTCCGCGCGCCATACATCGCTGATCCATGCATATACATCCGAAAAGAGGTCTGGAAAGGAGTTTCGATCCGCAAGAATAGGAAAGCTGCCTAAAGGCAGCAAAAAAATAACAAAAGCAAAACAAAACCAAGGCCATTTTTCAACTCCGTCGCCAACGCCGGAGTATTGAGTTTCTACTGTACACATGCATGCCTACCTAATATAAATTTTTGAATATTGTCTGTTCTTGCTGTGTTTCTATGCTATTAGACATATTTTTTTTCAAGTAATAACTTATGTTGTGCAAAGAGTGCAGCTATTTGTACAGTGCTGATGAGAAGGATGAAAGTGCTTGCCACTTGCAGAATTTTGATCCTAGCCGTCCTACCACAAATAACCGACAACAACCACCAACAAATGTCAACAACCAACAACAAGCTCATATTTATAAACAACAAACCCATAGTCATCAACAACGATGAAATAGACGTCAATATTGTGTTTCTTACGTCTGTATTCTAAAAGCTCACTCACACACAAACTCATTGAGTGGGAAATCTTAATCTTCTCGTAACGTTTCAATGGCGGTATTTCCAGCCGAATAGGGTCTTGATTTTCAGTGATTTACCTTATATCTTTCCATCTATTCCGAAAAAAACTTTCTCATTGATCAGCATTAACAAAATTCATATGTCACACTCAATGAGTGTGAGGGTGAGTGAGCTTTTTGAATACAGGCGTTAGACTTATTATTCGTGTTATTTAAAAATAAAATAGTACTGCAGATTCCAGTCTGGACAAGCGTTCCCACAGTCTGGTCTTGTTTTGATGCTCCACATACCATAACTATATAAGACCAGTTTTTCATGCAATCCATAGAAATCCATAGATAAGCACTCCCACTTTCTTTGGTAATTCAGTTGACTTAACAGGTTCTTGGGACGCTGTTTGTACCTTCGCTTGGCATGGGATACATTCATTTATACGAGATTGAACTTTGTTTTCCAAACCTGGAAACCATATACCCCTGACCTAAGAAGTTGCTTTGTCTTCACCAAATCTTGATGCCCCTCGTGTGCAATATCAATTACTTTCTTGTGAAGAGATGTGGGTAGGACTATTCTTTGGCCACGTATGATGACCTCTGAGAAATAGCTAATTCACTGCTTATATTCCTGTAAAGCTGTAAGGCTGTAAAGTAAAGCAGTATCTTCGTTCGGAAAAATTGCGTTTCAGATGATCATAAACTCTTTTTAGGACCGGATCTTTCCTAGTCTCTTTCCGAATGTCTTCTAGACTGAAGGGCAGTGGCACATCTCCTTTAATGTCCCAACAGACGCGAGATTCGTGTTCTTTGACCTTTGTCTTCTTCATCTTTCAATGTATGATAAATATCACACAATTATGATCCTCCATCAAGAGGCTTTTGTCGTTGCTTGTCCTCGATATCTAAAGCTATGAACAAGTTTTCGAGCCGTGCTGTCCATTTCTTCCACTGCAGCCCAGCGAAGAAGGGTCCAAATTAACATCGAAGGGTGGGAAAATCTAGTGAAGGTTTCACCATCAATCATACACAAGATAAAATCTTCGTCCACGTCAAAATCTCAACATGCGTTTGCCGTTATGACACTCTCTCTATCCCCTGTTATCCTTCTATTTAATATATCTAAAATATACATCAGCTAAGTAGAAATCAAAATGAAAGTATTCAAGATGATGATATCGGCCGCATAAGGTGCTACCAACTGCAGAGCCGTTTTATGATAATTAGGGGAAAGGTGCAAATTTGTATGTTTATGTTCCCATACAATATAAAAATACTGAGGATATTTTAAAAAATAATTATATTGTACTCATCATATACCTTATCATTTTCATTTTAGATCAGAATAATAAGAATTGGGTTTTCAATAAGGCACAACGTAACGATGGGTTCAGCATTTGAAATTTCATTAATCTTTTGGATTGCGCTTTATTTTTCCCTCACCACTTGCATAAATGGTGATTCTTATGTTTGCAAAAAAGTGAAGTGTGGATGTGAATTTAGTACTAAAAATGGAACCTATAAAATTTCAATGGACAAAATCAGCAAGAAAGGAACTTATTTGTAAGTCATATTTTTATCATTCTACTTGTTACATGGGTTTTTTACATAGTGTATGACATAATTAACTATATCGAGTAGGAATGTAGAATTAATGATAACCAGTGCGAGACAAGGAATGATTTGCTAGTGACCAGGCTCTGTCACTTCCTCACCTGTCACTTCGGCGAAAAATCAGCTGAAAAATCCGTTTAGGTGATTGTCGCGCAGTAATCCGAGGCGATCATAACCAGCTGATCTGAGATCATGACGTCATAAAGCGTCTCGACAAAACTGAGTTATCATGTGCCTGGTGTTATTTGTACTTATTCTTCCAACTAATAGTATAAAGGGTGAAAAATTTAATGAAGGAAATGATAACTCAGTTTTGTCGAAGATCTGGCTTCTGATTGGTTGATTTTTACACCCAGATCAGCTGGAAAGATATTTCTTCTCAAAATCGGTATGTTATTTCGGGATTTCTCTAAGATATTCAAAATACGCTGATTAAAATATCACTTAATTAAGCTTCCCTTAACTGAAGATCGCAGTATTAACAGTAACAAACTGTAGCATTATTTTATACCACGAGTATTGTAAAGCGAGCCTTAAATCCGTTAAGTTTTTTTTTCGCGCAAGACTTATTCTCCCACGCGGCCAATCTCCATTTTGGCAAGTAAAAAAAATCGCTGTCGCATGTGACATATTTGTGACCATTTTATTGGCATTCAGCGGTTCATTCAACTTTCTGTTTCTTCGTGATAACTTTAGCGGCTCATTCGACTTTCAGCTTAATTCTTTATGCTTAACATCAGCTGCGGGTGAGGGTTGTAACTGACATACGACACGTTACATTAACAAAAAACGTAAAAAAATAGTGCGTTTTGTTATGCGTATACCCAGGTATTTCCGAATCTATAGAAACAATGTACGCTTTCTAAGCGTACAAGCTAAACGACACTTCACGGATATTCTCTTTCCCCGATCGAAGGACAAATCTATAAATACGATTTTAACTTTGAGCCTTAATCTCCTTGATTTTTCAGGTAAAATATAATTGTAATAATTTATACCAAAATCTAGTTAACGTTCCCTTTATCTAATGAAAGTTATTTCAGTGTAATAGCTTCACTGGTTAAAAAGTTATAATCAATCAAACGGGAGTACTTTTTTGGGACGCCCGCGGCAGGGTAATCTTTATTGCGATAGAAAAAACATATCGTTTACTGTAGTATTTTATTCTATTATTTTATGCACATTGTATATCAGTCTTTTTCTGCACATCCAGCAAAGAAATTAGAAATGGCTACTGGACCTACTTTGTTGATCCATGTTATGGGTTTACAATGAACACTATTTGTACGGGGGTCAGAGTAAGTATTTTCACGTTCAGAGGATCAAATAAGACGGTAGATCTTTTTTCTATATATGTTGCTAATGTGTGTTTCACGCGATGTAAAAATATGCAGAAAAGGCGGTCATAAAAATTTCTCCAGTATCAAAGTCACCTTCGCCCAAAACCTGCGTCTCTATATAAATAAGTCTCCATGGAGACTTATTAGGATTACCATTACTGGAATAGAAAAGTTCTAAATTTCCCGTTTAGCGCGAACAATTAGTATATTATTTTTATCCAAAAGGGATTATTTTTATCCAAAATGAACTGTTTAATTTCAAATACTTGGTTAATGGTTTGGTGTAACCATGTTTTTCTTTATTTAGCTGTGCCAATTTGCAGACGGACAGTCTTTTCCTATTGCAAAAGATATAAAAAGTTATGGTGATTATAATGAAGACCAGAGATCATTGACAGTTAAATATGCACCGGTTACCTTTCAAGGGGCAACGTACGTATGCTATAAATTAGAATTAAATAGTGTAAACTATTGGGTTAGATTAAGTGACACTATACTAAAATGCAACGAAACTTCATTCCACGATCAAATTGATAAATATTTTGGGATTTTAACCCTACTTACATGCAAGTCAGAATTTTTATATTGCAAGTATATATACTATAATGGTTAGTTGCTGAAATGACATTACTGGGGAACCTGTTAAAGGTAATATAAAAATATGAAAAAAATTCATAAAAGTATTGCGTTTCCACCCGTGTTAAATCGAAGTCCGCAACTGCAATATGTATAATAGAATTTCGAATTTTGTCTCGTGCCTTATATAATAACATGGCAGCCATCTTTGATTGCGAAATCCTACATTATGAACTTTTATATGGTAATTAATGTCCTGAATTTCCGGTTATGGACTGCAATTTACGAGTAGATGGGTGACACAACCCTAACAAAAATAGCGACAGTAAGAATAGGCACATAAAGCCTTATGACTTGAATACTTACTAGTGGTGTCAAAAATATGTGTCGCAGCTTTGTTTTTTGTATTCCTGATTTCATTCTTGTCGGGCTCTGATCTTTACTTCTTAGTTTTAAGATATTCTATCAGATTCTGACACTGACGTTTATGCAAGTCAAGTCTTATTCTTCTTGCCTCTTCTGAAGTTAACTTTTCTTCAGACGGTTTAGACTCACCAGTATTTTGAGAAGCGGCAGAAGGTAGGATATCGCACGAAACCCCAACATTAGCAGGCATCGTTTCCAAAAACTATACAACAAATTGAAAAACATTGAAAATAGGAATCTATATAGGGAATGTAGTAACAAATATAATTCGAATGTAATAAATTAAAAAAGAAACACTTGGCGCAGCTTGTGCAAGCTTATTCCATGATATAAGACACTCATTTTTCTATCAACTGTTCCTGGGCTTGAATTTGAAGTGTGTATAATACCACTCGAAATTAAGACCCTTTAAAAAATAAAAATAAATAAATAAACCATCTATCTATCCAGAATATTCCTGCATCGAGTGAAGTGCCAAAAATCAAAATATATGATTGATACAATCTCAGCTCGCACGGTATTAATCGCAGGCGCACTATCAAACAGAGCATGCGCAGTAGTGTCAATACAATCTCAGCACGGTGACAATCTCAGACCTCTATACCGGGCGCTTTGGATTACCCCAGAAAGCACAGCGATTACGCAACGCGCTATCATGCATGTAGTTCAGTTCCCGGCACCATTAATCGGGTGCAGGGATAAATCTTCGGATCCCAGCAGAGGGAAGGTTTTTCTGTGAAACACACAATGAAACTTCGACCATTTAAGTCTTGTTAAATTTTTAAATCCTGCCAACTCACCCGCGGCTCGTAGTGACAATGTCACGTAAGCCTTAAAGTGTTGATGCTTGATTGTGGTGAAAATTGATATATTTACTTTGATAGAATCTTCATAGAATCGTGTAAAATAATTGGGTTTCCCACAACGTTTCTTTTCGTTTTCCCGTAGGCGTCATTTGGAATTAATTTTGGTATATGACAGCGCAACCTCGGTAACGGTGTATCAATCAAGTGACTTTGATTATGTAAGTCTGTTTTAATCAGTGGCGGATCTAGGGGTAGTTAAAACAAACTACTGCAGCTTAAAATCGTAACATTAATGGTTTTTTACTTAAAAATATTCTTTTGAAAGTTATGAGCAATACTTATAGCGTTGTTAATAAAGTGTTTTGAATTTAAAATTTGGCTGTTTAATTAATTCTGACTACCCCTATATAGATCCGCTATGTTTTTCGTCGTATTGCTTGCTAACGCCTTTTTGAAATCACTCTCACTGTGTGACAAAGCAATTATAGTAGTTTATTTTATTTTATTTTTATTCAGTCACAACACAAGGCCACCTTTTTGCCGCCTATTGCGTTTTTTTATGAGCTAGTAAAAGTTTAAAACCTTCTTAAATTGAATTCCTAATTATAGATACTTACTAACTGCAGATGTTTCTAATCACTTGATTTTAAAATGTTATAGAAAGTCGCAATAAAATCACCAAGCATTGTTCCTCAAAAAGTTCATCCAGGTTCAAATCAGGACAAATCAAGCAGCCTCAGAACTGGCAGCATCCCTTTCGAAGTCTAATCTAATCGCACTCTAACTGGGGTCACAACTAGGGGTCTCATAGCTTTCAGCTTTTATTAAACGCCTCTGCATGGGGTTTAATCCAGATGTAGAAGTGTGTGTGTAATTTTTTTTTATTGTAAAACAGTGTTGCCTCTTCTCACAGGGCTATTAGTTTGTAACACTATTCTGTGCTACCCTCATTCAATAAAGAGTTTACTTACTTACTTACTATGATCGATCCTACTATAGCGCCATTCAGTAATGCGAGTAAAAATTAGCCTTGGCTGAAAATATATATAATAGAAAACATTGAATGGAAAGTGTTAGGGATGTCATACTTAGGAGTTTTCATATTTCAATTTTCATGCTGAATGATGCCGAGACAATTCAACTGCGGTGCAGTTTTTAAATCTCTGCCTGACTATGAGCCGCAGAGCTTATATAGTCAAAATAAAAAGGTTTGGCATAGTGTTGCAGTGGCTGTAACCCGAAACCATCGATCTCGTGACTGTCTTAATTTTATGCTCGTGACTTCATTTTACAAGATCAGAAGAACTTATAGTCAATATTGGCAAGGAAATAGGTAATAAACATTGCTTAAACTTTGAATTCTAATATATTTCAGGGGTCTTGTAATCCAAATATTAATTATATAATTCTTCTCGATTTGGATTTGGTATGATTTTGAACGTCATCAATACTTTATGCATACAGTGGCGGATCAAGGGTAAGGCTACAGTGGCTGAATAAAGGCTACAGCTCGAACTTGCAATCATATTGGTGGACTTTTATTTAAAATTATTCTTTAGAAATTGAAAACCAATGTTGTGTTAAAAATGCAGCTACAGTTCTGTATAGTGCTGATGAGAAAGATGAAAGCGCTTGCTACTTCAGTGTAGAATTTTGATTCTAGCCTTCCAACAAATGTCAACAACCGACAACAAGCTCATAATTATCGACAACAAACCCATAGACAACAGTTCCATCGTTGACACAACGATGAAATAGACGTCGATTTTGTTTTTCTTCGACTTATTATTCGTGTTATTTACTAATAAAATAGTATTTTGATAACATATTCCAGTCTGGACAAGTGTTCCCACAGGTCTGGTCTTGTTTTGATGCTTCCACATACCATGCCTAAGTCCAGTTTTTCTCACTAGTTTTTCCACTTTCATAACTCTAAATATGCCTTATGGGTTAATTGCTGTTCTATAACGTGTTTAGTAATATAACTCTTTTGTTTTAAGACTCTTCATGAGTGATAATGGGGGGAATTTGTGATATATCATTGTAGAAAAGTTGATATGGAAACGGCTCCCAAACATTTAATTAATATTCATTATTCAATCATGCATGACTGTTAATTTATATACGCTTGTTGTCAATTGTTGACGTTAGTAGGACTTGATTTTAGGAGGAGTGTGACAGTATCTTAGTATTATATATTCTATTTTATTTTTTTATTTTTTAATTTTCTCCATCCTTTAAAAAACGTTTCGTTAAAAATAGATAATTACAAAACTACGATACTCTGAAAATACTTCAGTTAGTAAACTGCAATGCTCTAGTAAACTGAGGATAGATTATTGATAGTCAGAATAAAATGATAGTGTAAAATGATTCATATTATTAAGCATTGAACAGACCTAATAGAGTAAAACCTGAGCTTCGAGATTAGGCTTTTCTCAAAGGCCCAAAATGTGGATGCATCAAAAGTATATTTCAAAGAGTTCAAAATTTATAGTTTTCAGGGGAAAACCTCAGCACTTGAAATCAACTGATGATCATTTGTTGTGCAACTGATAATCATTAAGATATATTTGGAAAATAAATATTAAAGCCCAATGGTGGAAATTGTATAGTAATGTTAAAAGGTTTTTATTCAGTTATATACGCATGGTAGGAGATCTTTACAAGGTTTTGACTGTTGTTTTTAAATGCTCCTTCTTGCTCTGGTCGTGCCTTCTTCGTCTGTTTTTGTCTTGTTGAGCTTCTTTAACGAAGCCTCGGGTGTTGTGCACGCCCTTTTATAGTAAAGATTGAGAGACACTTGTTCACGTCATCAACCAGAGTGGGCTGATCCTTATCCAACCAATCAGCGTTGTAAGTGAGAAATGTGGGTTGGCGTTAGAAACTCACTCCAGCTCTCATATCTTGTTTATTCAAGGTGTTACGAAATGCGTATATATAATGTAATTTAGCATTGTTAAGAAATAGAAGGTCAATATCGACGAGGAACTTACTTGGGGAACATGTCACACAAAATGAAGTGTAAAATAAATATTATTATGACCCTTCGGAATCACAAAATTACTTTTCCTGTCATAAGGTGACAGCCCATGGGATTTCCTCCGAAACAATAGTATGTCGTACAAAGTACAAGTGTCACGACTCAAGAACATAAGTTCTAGGCGGATACTAGTTTATGTCAGTCATCTCTTTGTTATATTTTGCTCGGTTAAGCACTTGAAGCCTTACGTCACTAAAAGCTTAATTCGATGAAATTATTAGTAAAATAGTTTATAAGTTGAGATACGGTTCACAGAGTAATAAGTTGATAATTGTACTTTAAGTTGATGATAAATATTTTAAGTTGTGAACAAGTTTTAACAGTGATCGATTAAGTAAAAGACCAACTTGACTAGTGCGTCACCGGCCTTAAGTAAACAAAGTATGAGAGCTGGACCGAGCTTCTAACGCCAACCCACACTTACAACCTACAACGCTGATTGGATTGTGTGAATCACATCACCTTGCACAGCTAGGGCGTCTTCAAGATCCCCTCAAATTTTATTATAAAAGGAGGCGCACAGCAACAGAACATTCAGTGGACTAAATACGAGAGTGGACTAAAAGGAGTGGATTAAACACGAGAGTGGACTAAAAGGAGTGGACTAAACACGAGAGTGGACTAAAAGGAGTGGACTAAACACGAGAGTGGACTAAAAGGAGTGGACTAGCGGAGTAAAGAAGGTATATGAAACGTTGGAGAAGCTCAACGACAGAACTGACGAAGAAGACAAGAACATTTAACGACGATCAAGATCGAAGATAGAAAAAGAAGAGAACAGTAACGAACTTTAGTTGAATTATTGTAACGATCCACTACCTCGCGCAGAAATAAAAACCATCTAACAAAGGCGTTGACGCACTAGTCGAGTTGGTCTTTTGCTCAATCGATCAATACTTAAAATTGTTCACAACTTAAAATATTTATCATCAACAACTATTAAAATTTTCAAACATTGCTTCTGTGAACCTTATTTTACAACTTAACTACTTATACTATTATTTTATTCGAATTAAGCTTTCTCTGACGCATAACGCTTGAAATGCTCGACCGGGCGGAATATAAAACACCATTGATTGACATAGGAGCTTTGCAGCTGCCTTGCCTAACAGTAACGCAGCCTCAGCACTATTCACAATTGACAGCTTACTGTAGGGATTTTTAAAGTTTCAGGGGAGAGGTGAAAATTTGTACGTTTCCATACTATATGAAAGAAATACTGAGGGAGTAATACTAAGGAAATATCTTTAAAAATCTCTTTATATTGTACTCATCATATACCTTATCATTTTGGCATTTCAGATCAGAATAATAAGAATTGGGTTCTCAATAAGGCACAACGTGATGGGTTTAGCATTTGAAATTTCATTAATCTTTTGGATTGCGGTTTGTTTTTCCTTCACCACATGCATCAATGGCGATTCTTATGTTTGCAAAAAAGTGAGGTGTGGATGTGAATTTAGTACTAAAAATGGAACATATAAAATTTCAATGGACAAAATCAGCAAGAAAGGAACTTATTTGTAAGTCATGTTTTTTATCATTCTACTTGTTAGCTACATGGATTATTTAACATTTGTTACCTGAATACAGTGTATGACATAATTAACTATATCGAGTAGGAATGTAGAATGAATGATGATAACCAGTGAGAGACAAAGAATGATTTGCTGGTTGCCAGGCTCATTATAATTCTGTGCGATTTGTATTGCATCTTGATAACACTCAGGGGCATAGGTTTGGATTATGAGCTCCTTCCTCAACTGACTTTGTATGTTCCTAAACCATAAACATTCAGACTAAAATTCGACTTAGGTCTTTCAGAAGGGAGCGAGGCACGTGTCTGAGATTTCGGTTCATTGTATGTGAGCACAACGTGAACATATAGTTCGCAGAAACAATTCCTAAAATCTTTATAACTGTAGAATGCATAAGTCTAAAGTAAAAAACGGCGTGTTCTTTTGACCTGATTTATTTAATGAACTCCCAATACCCGCGTTCTGTTCTGTCCTTTGGCAACCTACACTCAGGGCCGTACCTAGTGGGGGGGGGGGGTGTTTGGGTGCTGACCTAAAATTTCCGAATGGAAGACCAAATGTCCATATATTTTCCGACGGGTACACAAGAAAGCCAGTTGTTTTTTACAGTTTTTCTATCATTCTTTATTACGACCCCGAAAATAATTTTCATCGTTAATAAAAGTGTCACTGATAAAGCTACAGTAGCGCAGTGGCGCTCATGCCTAATTTAAACAAATACCTCAAACGCATTGCTTGGTTCTCCTGCCACTTTATACCCAACATGTCGGCGCGTTTTCAAATAGTCTAAGTGGCATAATTCTTTATGCTTCTTTCTGTAGTCGTTGTCAAACGATGCATGACAAACCAAGCACTCTACCTTGAATCGTTTGCTTTTGCTTAACATTATTTTAATATCTTTATTATTTGCGGCTCAACAAATTAAGACTTTTAGCGCAAGTATTGAGTATACAATTTTTTGTTTTGAAATTACAATAAAACCTTTTCTATAAAGAATAGGTAGAATATTTACAAGTCACTTTATAGATGATCGCAAAAGCGAAATGAAAAAGCAATTAGAATTAATTTAATTAGTCTCAAGATTGTTGAGGCGTGTTAACACAATTACGGTAGGCTAGATCTGGAAGTGATGGTATGCTATAAATGTCACAAATCTTAACTGCTAAGAGAAAAGAACTATTTAAAATTTTAGCGAGAGAAACTAAGCGAGGCTACGTCCTAAAAGGCGGAATATTTCGTGGCCGTTACTATCAGCTCAATAGTAAATATTTCGTAACTTCAAAATACAGAAACTGTGTTTCCGAATAAGAACAGATTTTTGGAATATTGCGTAATAAATTCAACTTGGGGGGGACGGCACTCCCCCACTTGGGGGTGGGGGCTCGGCACTTGGAGGGGGAGTGCCGCGCACCTGTCACTTTGGCGATAAACTCGCAGCCCATTTTGAAAAATTCGCCTAGGGGATTATCGCGTAAGAATCCGTGGTCGCTCGATCAAAAGGTATTTTCAATAATCACCTTTATAATAGCATTTAAATTGAGATGTAAAACGAATGATTATATGAGTACATTTCTATATATCTCTTCCACATCCAGCATAGAAGTGAAATCTGCCTACTGGACCTACTTTGTTGATCCATGTTATGGGTTCACAATAAACATTAATTGCACCGGCGTCAGAGTAAGTATATTTTCACGTTTAGAGGTATTTTTCCTATATATTCCGTTAGTCTGTGAACGTTAGCTATCATTTTTTGCGCGGGGCATAAACATATGTCGAAGAAGCGGTTCTGAAAAGTAGGAGATAAATCCTATCATTATATAGCAAGTTTAAATGTTTGAGTCTGATTGGTTAAAACTACGTCACGTTGTTTTTCAGGTTTGAACCAGGGGTTTAATGAAAGCGGAAGTCGTTATTTTTTGTCATATCACGCGACTTAAACCTCATGCAGTTTCACGCGACATATGACCCAAATTTCGAGTATCCCTCCTTTTTTGTCGCATATTTTCATCCGTTTTCTTTGAAATTTGCTATATAATAAAACACTTATTGGCTGATCAATAAGTCTTAATACTTTTCTGTCAATTTTTCTCTCAACCCTATATGTATCTATATAACTTACCTAGTAGTTACCTTCGCCCAAGACCTGCAGTCTATGGAGACTCATGCATTGTACTGTGAAGATTTTTTCTGTGGTTTATATTATGAATATACCATTGCTAAAATAGAAGAGTAAATTGTGTCACTAAAAAACCTCATGTATAACTTCGACGTTCTACATATTTCGACAAAGGTTCTTATACATTTCGGCAGTCGCTAAATTGAAGTCGATATTTTAGCCAAGCAGCGCTCAGAAGGATTGTCAAAAAAGAAATCCATTCTGCAATATTTTATCGATGATATCCTTTCCGTATTTTAAAAAATGTAGTAATTGAAATTTTGTGTGATTATGTTTAGTTATATAAGAGCTATAGCTCTAGCTAAATTTGAAAATGAAATATAGCATATTTCAAGAAATATTAAGTTATTTCACCCGAGAAATACATTTTTATTTGAACACCAGTCCTTTCTTAACATTTCGGATCACTTTTAAACTAGTTAGCTAATCAATTTATTTGTTAATATTAAAAAGGCTAGCCAATGAGAATGCCTAAATTTTTAATACTTCATATTAAATGGTAAATAATAGATAATGTACCCTTTTACCCGAAGTAGTCAATGTTTATGCGTTCTGATTGGGTTACAAAATATATAAACAAATTTGCTGATAAAAAAAAACAAATTTGAACTTGTTTTCATGCAGATGTTTAACTCGAGCATTTGTTTGCAATTTTTTTGTACGGGATAGAGGATAGATGTTCATGTTTGTTCCTATAGTCTTTTTACTCAAGGACGTATTACACAAGAGGTTTAAAAATATTTACTTCGCCACGTCTCGGATAGTTTAACTGCCCTTTAACCTGTTCAATAGTTAAACACGTTACATGATGTTTTTTCTTACTATTTGAAACGTTGCAAAATAAATATTTTGAAACTACTTGCGTAACATCCTTGAGTACAAAAACTAAAAAGAAACATGCATGTGATCCAAGAGGGATAATTAAGTAAAAGAACTAAAAGGTGTGGTGTAACCATGTTTTTCTTTACCTAGCTGTGTCAATTTTCAGAGGAAGCGTCATTTCCTATTGCAAAACATATAGAAAGTTATGGTGAATATAATGAAGATCAAAGATCACTGACAGTTGAATATGCACCGGTTTCCTCCCAAGGGGCAACGTACGTTTTGCTATAAATTAGAATTAAATAGTGCAAACTATTGGGTTAAATTAAGTGACACTATACTAAAATGCAACGAAACTCCATTCCACGATCAAATTAATAAATAATTTGGGATTTTAATGCTACTTACATGCAAGTCAGAATTTTTATATTGCAAGTATATATATAATGGTTAGTTGCTGAAATGACATTACTGGGGAACCTGTTAAAGGTAATATAAAAATATGAAAAAATTTCATAAAAGTATTGAGTTTCCACCCGTCTTAAATCGAAGTCCGCAACTGCAATATGTAAGATAGAAGTTGCTTTAATTTCGAATTTTTATCTCGTGTCTTAAATAATTCTATTATTTCATGACAGCCATCTTTGATTGCGAAATCCTGGCATTATGAACTTTTATGGTAATTAATGTCCTGAATTTCTGGTTATGGATGGGGTTATGGATGGGTGATTACACATCCCTAACAAAAATAGCGACAGTAAAAATAGGTACATAAAGCCTGATGACTTGAATTCTTACTTGTGGTGTCAAAAGTATGTGTTGCAGCTTTGTTTTTTGTATTCCTGATTTCATTCTTGCCCAGCTCTGATCTTTACTTCTTAGTTTTAAGATATTCTATCTGATACTGACGTTCTGATACTGATCTGGTTCTGATACTGACGTTTATGCAAGTCAAGTCTTATTCTTCTTGCCTCTTCTTAAGTTAACTTTTCTTCAGACGGTTTAGACTCACCAGTATTTTGAGAAGTGACAGAAGGTAGGATATCGCACGAAACCCCAACATTAGCAGGCATCGTTTCCAAAAACTACAACAAATTGAAAAACATTGAAAATAGGAATCTAAATAGGGAATGTAGTACCAAATAATTATAATTCGAATGTAATAAATTAAATAAGAAACAAACAATCTGTCAGCATGAACACACGAGGCGCAGCTTGTGCAAGCTTACTCCATTATAAGAGACAAAGATATTTTTGCAAAACATGCACACCTGTAGAATGCACAATCTTCAAGTAACTTTAATCATGCTTTAATTCACAAAATATAATGAGAAGGATGACAATGCGCAAAAGAATCCTCCAGAGTCCAGAAAAATTCCGAATTTAACTCCGAAATTACAAAACACTTGTTTGCAAGTAAACAAATATATGATTGATACAATCTCAACACAGATAGTATTAATCGCAGGCGCACTAACAAACAGAGCATGCGCAGTAGTGTCAATACAATCTCAAGCACGGTGACAATCTCAGACCTCTATACCGGGCGCTTTGGATTACCTGAGAAAGCACAGCGATTACGCAACGCGCTATCATGCATGTAGTTCAGTTCCTTGCACCATTAATCGGGTGGCAGGGATAAATCTTCGGATTCTAGCAAAGGGTAGGTTTTTCTGTGAAACACACAATGAAACTTCGACCACTTACGTCTTGTTAAATTTTTAAATTCTACCAACTCACCCGCGGCTTGTAGCGACAGTGTCACGTAAGCCTTAAAGTGTTATTGATAAATATTGATGCTGGATTGTGGTGAAAATTGATATATTTACTTTGATAGAATCTTCATAGAATCGTGTAAAATAATTGGGTTTCCCACAACGTTTCTTTTCGTTTTTCCGTAGGCGTCATTTGGAATTAATTTTGGTATATGACATCGAAACCTCGGTAACGGTGGATCAATCAATTGACTTGCATTTTGTGAGTCTGTTTTTGTCAGTGGCAGATCTAGGGGTAGTCAAATGAAACTACTACAGCTTAAAATCGTAACATTAGGGGATTTTTACCTAAAAATATTCTTTTGAAATCTATGAGCAACCGCGTTGTTATTAAAGTGTTTTGAATTTAAAATTTGGCTGTGTAATTAATTTTGACTATCCCTATATAGATCCGCTATATTTTTCGTCGTATTGCTTGCTAACGCCTTTTTGAAATCACTCTCACTGTGTGACAAAGCAATTATAATAGTTTATTTTATTTTATTTTCATTCAGTCACAACACAAGGCCACCTTTTTGCCGCCTATTGCGTTTTTTTATGAGCTAGTAAAAGTTTACAACCTTCTTAAATTGAATTCCTAATTATAGATAGTTACTAACTGCAGATTTTTCTAATCACTTGATTTTAATATGTTATAGAAAGTCGCAATAAAATCACCAAGCATTGTTCCTCAAAAAGTTCATCCAGGTTCAAATCAGGACAAATCAAGCAGCCTCAGAACTGGCAGCATCCCTTTCGAAGTCTAATCTAATCGCACTCTAACTGGGGTCTCAATCGCACAATTTGATGTCTCATAGCTTTCAGCTTTTATTAAACACCTCTGCATGGGGTTTAATCCAGATGTAGAAGTGTGTGTGTAATTTTTTTTTATTGTAAAAGACTGTTGCCTTTTCTCACAGTTGCCTGTTGCGGTGTCACAGAGTATATCGTCCCCTCCTCAGATATGTACCCTCTATTTACGCTAGCGGATCCGTATCCCCCATCCGCTCTTTGCTATGATGGTTTAACCTTCCCGTTCAGTCATATTTTTGGCATGCACAAATTCAAGTTCAACTGAAGAAAATTTCTGCAGACATTATTATCTCCCAAGCGACGCGTTTCCTACGCTACTTGATTCTCGTCCCGCAAAATTACCCATCCCGCGGGATAGAATTCCCAATTATATATATGGGGGGGGGGGGCGTAAATATCTTTCGGCCCCCTCAATAATACGGTGGTTTTTAAGAAAAAGCTTTGAAATTCAAAGTGAGTATTGGAAAATGTATATATGTAGGCATATATATGTTGGCATAGTGTTGCAGTGCCTGTAACCGCGCGGAAACCATCGATTTCGTGACTGTCTTAATCTTATGCTCGTGACTTCATTTTACAAGATCAGAAGAACTTATAGTCAATATTGGCAAGGAAATAGGTAATAAACATTGCTTAAACTTTGAATTCTAATATATTTCAGGAGTTCAGGGGTCTTGTAATCCAAACATTAATTATATAATTCTTCTATCAAAAATTACTTGTAGATTGCATTAAAATAATAAATTTTGATTGGTCTAGCGTCCATAGATTCCAAATTTGATCCCAGAATTTAATTTATATGCTTCTGAAAACTGAAAATGCGCGCCACGTTGCCGCTTCGCGTCCGGTCTGTGTCGGCTTTTAAAGTCGACACACACCGGACGCGATGCGGCAACGCGACGCGAATTTTCAGTTTTCAGAAGGACATAAATTAATTTCTGGAAGCAAAATTTGGAATCTATTGACGCCAGGGCAGTCAAAATGTATTATCGCCAAATAATCAACAAGAATATTATGATAGGTTAAAATTTATTTGCTTTTGGAAAATCAAAAACTTTTAAAAATCGCGCCGCGTTGCCTAATCGCGTCCGGTCTGTGTGGGCCTTTAGGCTGGAGACGAATTGATCAATTCGCCCTATACCTGCCTATACAATGTATACAATGATTGCGGGTTTTGATATATATAAGTTCTTATATACATACCATGATTACAGGTTTTGATATATATAAGTTCCTATATATACCATGATTGCGGGTTTTGAATATTATATCAAAAGCTTAGGGTATTTTAAAAAACTTACCGCAACCATGTTATAGGCACTTTAAATTTCGACAAAAGAGTGCAAAATGTACAACTAAAGAAAAGCGAATGTAAATGTCGATATACG